CAAGAGTAAACGGAGACGCGGAGATGCAAGGCATGCTCGAGCTTTTGGCAAAAGCCAAATTGGTTGGAGCGAACAACATTGGAGCTGGAGAAGAGCAGACAATGGGGGGACCTCTTACCGGACCGGCAACGACTCTGGATTCTCGGAATATTTTCGATGCTAGCTTTGCCGTGCGTTCCGAAAGTCCAGAGCCAATGGAAAGTTCTCCGCCTTCACCTACCAGCGCTAAAAAGGTGACAAGCTCATTACATACCTTGCGCGAAGATGATCTACAGTCCATCGAACCCAACAAGGGCATAGCAACAGCCCTACCAGCGGATTCCGAACCTTCCTCTAGGACTCCAACAAACGAGAGTCGGACAACAGCGCAAACATCCCCACCAGTCACGAGGCGCCAAAGTCTCAAGAGAACCTACACTGATCTGGAACCTTTGAGCTTACAGAACAAGCTAATGGACGCTATGTCACAACCTTACATAGCTACTGATTCTCTCCACGAATCTATGTTTTCCCCTCCATTGACACAGACCACCAGCGCTTCAACATTCGGACATTCTTTAGGAACAGCAAATCACAGTCATTCGAGTAGATGGGCGCCTGCTGCACAAGCTATCTTTACCACGGAAAGCACTTCACCATACACTATTTTGGCGGCCAACGACCTAGCCTGTCTCGTATTTGGTGTTACAAAAGCAGAGGTTCGCAAAATGGGTATCCTCGAAGTTGTACAAAAAGAAAGAAGACCATGGTTGGAGGAGAAATTAAGTGCACACAGCTTGGGAACTGAGTAAGTAAACCTTGATTATCTTGATTTTCTAAAGCTTTTGATATTTCGCTTTGTGGGCGTCAGACCTTACCCCGCATTTTATTTCCCCATGAAATATTAACAATGTCTTCACAGGGTTGGAAAACAGACTACCCTATTATCACAGAATCAAAGCCAGCAATCAAGCTCAACATCAAGCAGTAAGTTGTTTTTCTCAAAATCAGACGATCTCGAGATCTCTACTCCGTTGCTTGTATACTGACCAGGGCTCGCAGCATCGATGCTGCTTGGACGGCCTGGTGGTATCACGGCTAGCCTCTTGAGTAAACCTAACTCGCGTCAAGTACAGAAACCTCCTCGTCGAGCGCAAACCGACGATGGTGCAGGATCCAGTCTTGTTTCGAGAACACGAGCAGCAAAGGGTGGCTCAAATCACCAAAGTAATAAATCTAGGGGTGTTCTTTTATGTGGCGACGTGGTGCCTATTGAAAAAAGAAACGGCGCAACGGGTTCGGCAAGCTTGTGGGTCAAAGAGAAGAGAGGTGGCCTTATCTGGGTTTTGGAAGAGATTCATGAAGATGTAGCCATCGTCAGCCTTGACGATGATGCTGCCATAACAAAAATATCTGGATCTATCGATGCGATTTGGGGAGCCGACATTGATTGGACAGGTATGGATATTGGGAAACTTTTACCAAGACTTCCACGCCAAGGAATCGATGGTAGGAGTGGAGAGATTGATTATGCCGAAGTCAGTAAACGGAGATATTTTACCGCCCGTACCTCTGGACGTGTTCATATTCCCGCAGTTGTCGACAGAGTTCCTAGTAGCACGGATCTCCGCGTTTCTAGCTTTCCTCATATTGCTGGCATCATGGTTTTGTCTGCGCAAACCTTGAAAATCACGAGCTCCAACTCCGTTTTCTCTGCTGCATTATTTGGGCAGGATAAACCCGACGGTCGATTGATTACTGATTTAATACCCGATTTCGATAGGATGTTGAAGATTTTAATCGAAGAAGATGGTGTGGATATGGTTGATGGAATTGTCATACCTGAACACAGCTTTAGACGGGCTCAAGCTTTTCTTGCACTACGTGATGGAAAAGCCGATGCATCAACATATTTCTTGAGGCCAGATGGATTGTCAGCCAAACATAGGGACGGTTCAGAGCTCAAGATTGATGCTCAACTCAGGGTTGTAAAATCGGATCCTAAGACTCCCGCTTACGATGAAAATGTCATCGAAGAAATAAGCGACGAGGAAGACGGACTCACGCCCCACGAGCCTGTAATAAAATCCGAACTTGTCTACGCTTTATGGATTACATACTCAAGGAATATCCACGCCGCAAAACTTGCTAATGGTATGGAAACTCCCATGTTGACTGGATTCGAAACACCATTACACCAACCTTCTCCAGGTCAAACTGGACCTCCAGCTCCCATGAAAATGGACTCTTCAGATTCCGATGAGCCCAAGAATGAAACATCGCATGCGTCGATGCTCACAGCACAGCTCAAGGCCGCAGCAAAAAAGACAGCGGCTAAGTTTACAGGTCGCGATCGGTCTTTTTCGAAAGCTCATGAGAAGGAAAAGCCAGCTGCTCCAGCGGAGGTCAAAACTGTTGTCAAGAAGAGCATTGATGATTTCACAATACTGGAAGAAATGGGCCAAGGAGCTTATGGTCAGGTGAAACTTGCTCGATTCAAGAAGAGCGGTAACAATAAAGTTATCCTCAAATACGTCACCAAAAAGCGAATTCTTGTCGATACCTGGACTCGCGATCGTCGACTGGGAACTGTGCCCCTTGAAATTCATGTTCTCGATTACTTGCGTCGGGATGGGCTTCAACACCCCAATATCGTGGAGATGTCTGATTTCTTCGAGGATTCCGTCAATTACTATATTGAAATGGTACCTCACGGATATCCAGGAATGGATTTGTTTGATTACATTGAGCTTAAAGTTAACATGGAGGAAAAGGAATGTCGTAGCATTTTTGCACAGGTTGCACGTGCCATTCATCATCTTCACACCAAGGCTCTTGTCGTTCATCGCGATATCAAGGACGAGAACATAGTCATTAATGGTGAAGGAAGTATTAAGCTCATTGATTTTGGAAGTGCCGCTTATATCAAGAGCGGTCCTTTTGACGTCTTCGTAGGAACCATTGGTAAGTTACTCCTTTCACGTATTTGAGGTTATGTCTAATGTCATCACAGATTATGCTGCACCTGAAGTTCTCTCTGGTAAACCATATCAAGGAAAACCACAAGATGTTTGGGCTCTTGGTATTCTTCTTTACACCATCGTGTATAAAGAAAATCCATTCTACAGTATTGACGAAATCATGGATCGTGATCTTAGGGTACCTTATGTTATGAGCGAAGAAAGTATCGATCTCATCCGAGGTATGCTAAATCGGGATGTTGATTCAAGATTGACTATCGAGCAAGTGATGGACCATCCTTGGTGTGTGGAGGCAGAGGACGACGAATAAGCTTCAGGTTTCATATTGAGCGGTAGTATCAAGCAAAGCTATGCGCCAAAAAAAAATTATCATACGACAACAAAACTAAATATGGAGGATACGAAGAAAATATTTTGGTTATATCGAAACAAGCAGATGAAGAAATACACGAAAGAGAAGAAATACTTAGATTTCATGATGTCATGAAAAGAGATTTCATGTCATGAAAAGAGATACCCCCTTTATGGAAAGGAAGACACAGTTCAGAGGTTTGATTTATTAGCGAGAATCTGGATCTATTTCAAATGGGGAACTGCGTGGGGGTGTCATTGCCGGATTGTTTTTCGTTGCGCACTTTTATATGATGGGGATTTCAAAGGGTATTGCAGATGGATGGATGGGTGGGTGAATGGGACGAAGGGATATGGAAATGAGCGAATCAGAGGAAATAAGGAAGGGTGTTGAGAATGAAAGAGAGGCGGATAGGGGGCGATGAACACATATGGTTGGAACTGAAGATGTGGCTGTATTGTATATGAATGATGATGATGATGCCAATCTATCTATTGGGCTCGAAAGAGAATTGAAAATATAATGAGGATTATTGATTGTGAATGGATTAATTAAGTATATAGCCTAGTGGCATGTTCTGTTTGATGCGACATAGTGGCTCGAATTGTAAGGGGATCTAATAGAAATCTCGAAAATTCTTTAGAGAGGGGGCTCTCGCCTCTGTTTTTTTCTTTCTCGCTTTTAATTGTCGTTTATTGATTATCTTGTGTGTTTGAATGGGGTGCGTGTTGATTTTCGTCTTCTTTTCATTTTTTGTTCTCTTACTTGATTACTTGATTACTTGATCACTTGGTTGCTTTTTTGCTTTCTGGCTGATGAATATGTAAAATCTAATCATTTGAGTACAGATTCTATATCGATCCTATTGTAGAATCTAAGGAGTATGAGAGTAAATTGCCTTTCAATCTTAAGGCATGAAAGTAACGTGTCATAAAACCTATAATTATTTTCAATCTTAGTATGATTAAAGAATGTCATTCGGCTTCAGAATGATGGCGTTTTTAAAAGAGTCGACCTTTTAACGAGTCTGATACACTTTTTTTTCTGTCCAGCTGAAGGAGCAAGCCCTGAACTGAACGAAATTGTCAATATCTCGAAATCGCATGCGTTTTCTCAAACCAAGCTATTAATCAATCAATTAGTATTTTCACTACGAATTTCAATGAGAGTTTTCAATAGCTTACGATTGATCTATTATTCAAAATCTAAAAGGATCTGAACGTAATTGTGACTACAATGTCATGATAGTCGGCTCTCTGGCTGGCCGCTTAAAGAGCCAATCATTATAAACAAGAGTGCTTTCTGAAAGTTCTCCATGTTCAGTCAGATGAATCAATAAGAGGCTGGGTTGGTTGGTTGCGCTTGCTTCTAGAAATCAAGAATTCAACAAATGGCATGGATAGAAGATAATCCCTGTGTGTATGAATACGTGTCGTGTCGTATGCAAAGATTACCCCGCCTCCATCAGAATAAGAAATTCGAGGCACCAAAAAACACTTGGTTTCCAAGTTCTACATCAAAAAGATCTTTCAGTACTTTGAACTCTTTGATTGAAGCAATTTGAGACGTTTTAGGTTTTTGTGAAGTCTATCGCACCTGTACTGGGCTTTTTCATACTGACGGTGCTCATATATTCCATTTTTTTAAGTCCAAGTACCATACATCCCAAAAATACTACTACCCTCACGATGGGTTGTACAACTAGCTCACACGTACCCTCAGATGACTGCGAAGAGAGCGATATGAGCGATATGAGCGAAGAGGAAATCCATGAAGCTGTTTTGGCGGCCGGAAAGAAAGCTAAGATTACCGGTCTTTGTGAGAAGTGCGATCAAATCGTGGGCTGGTTCTTTCTGGAGCAAAAAGTGTTCGGAAGAATAATCAAAAGAGAGGAGAGCTCGCGCCAACTTATTCACAATTTCAAAATCGACGAATTCAAGTCTTTTTGCAAGCTCTGCAATTTCCTCTATTCCATCTGGGCTGAAGGGAAGGAAGGCAATGATGAAGAATATTTTTCCCTTGCAAGGTCAACTGCAGCATATTTGTTTGGCTTCAGGTACGCCATCGGCAATGCGTTGGAGCCCGTCTACGTCAATAAAATTATCTTTTACCTCGTGGCTGGTGAATATGCCAATGAACCTATGAGCCATCGTACTAATACAATCTTTGGCTTTTCTAACGCAAATGCTTATAAAGATGGAGTAGCCATACGCAATCTGTCATTACAGGCTGATTTGTCTCTCGTCCGGGAATGGATTCGGCAGTGCGATGACAATCATGCCGATTCTAACTTGAATTGCCTACCAAGAGATGGCATTTCACTTCAAGGCTTCACAGTAATCGACTGTAAAGATGGGAGGAATATCCTGGTGCCAGGTACCACCTGCATGGAGTACGTAACACTGAGCTACGTCTGGGGATCTGAAGTATCAGAAGGGCCAGATCAGTTCGGAAAACTACCGTCTACTCTTCCAAATCTTATAACCGATGTTATCAAGGTTGTCATAGCTCTGGGCTACAGATACTTGTGGATTGATAGATACTGTGTTCCTCAAGATGATTCTTCTGATATTAAATCCCTTCTCGTCAAGAACATGGATAAGATCTATTCACAATCTACTCTTACGATAATCGCCACTACTGCCAAATGCCCAAGTGAAGGTCTCCCTGGGATCAGCAAGCCTAGAATAGCTGTGCAAAAATCTCTGCAAATGAATTCCATTCATCTGGTGCAGTGGGTCAGTAACATCCAGTATGAGATCGATAATTCCGTATGGAAAACGCGCGGGTGGACCTATCAAGAAGCTTTATTGTCAAGACGCAGGCTCGTGTTCACTGAGACTCAGTGCTATTTTCAATGCGATGCAGGAGGTATTCGGAGCGGCAAAGGAGGTGGTCGGATGGAAAGTATCGACTATGACCTCACAACGGAAAGACATATCCAGATGAGGCGTCGCATCCCAATGATATTTCGTCCACGGCCAAAACATTACACCGACAGGGAAATATCCTTCTTCAGCCTTATGGTAAGCGAGTATACCGAGAGACAACTCTCGAAAGACTCCGACGTTCTGCCTGCCTTTCTGGGTATATTGGGTATGTTCACGTCTGAGTGCTCAATTTTTCATGGACACATATACGGAGTGCCAATTTTCGAGTCCAGTAACAAATTACTCCCTGTTGACACTACCGCTACGCTAATAATGGCTATTACATGGAAATTTTATTGGCACTTTCTTAATCTTGAGAGTTTATTCGCGGCAACTTTGCCATCAAGGAGACGGACCTCGCCAAGCTGGACGTGGTGTGATTGGAAATATACTTCACCGTCGTTTTATTCGATTGAATGGACAGATGAAATTCTAGGTTCAGATTCCCCGAGGGGAGCTATGGATATAGTGCACGACCAAAAGCTTAACCTCGAGTTCGAGAACGGCACCATACTCCCGTGGCCTCGCGAAGCGGATCTTGCTGATCTTGCGCAAAAGATTATGCTGATGGGAAACGTGCGCTATATCCATGTTTTTGGGCCGTTCACGCATCTTCCAATTCTTATTAGCTCAAATCCCGAGTGGTGGGGCCGGAAACTGTGTGGTCCGTATGTAATAGATGAGTCGGTAATTTGTTGGCTTTCGGGGTTGGCAAGAGATCGGGGGATGAATGTTACGGATAATGAGGAGTATGTCTTTAAGGCATGGGTATATGCTTCAGGAATAAGCCGAGTTTCTTATCCTGTAGAATCTAAGAGAGTTGTTCACATGATGCTGCTGAGTGAAATCTCAGATTTGAACACCTTTGAGCGCATCGATGTATGTACATTTGATGTGGAATTGGAATTGAAAGAAGAAGAATGGCAACAGGAGAATTTGGAGGATATTGCGAAAAAGCTGGGATGGGAGATGAAGGCTTTTAGACTTGCATAGTTCTATCGATATTTTATAGCCTGCGAGGACATTATCATGCTGAGGTTTTGACAGAAAGTTTGTGTATGATGTAAGAGGGATGTCAATTTCATATTAAAGCGATTCATCAAAATCATGATTACATGGTAATATTGTATAATAATATATACAAGTATAATAATGGTTATATAATATGTGAAACTGATTGGAAGTCTTAAACAAGATCAAATAACTAATCCCTATGCCAAGGTAACCCAATAGCCAACATTATTTTAACTGTCTACGAACACATATCTCAGACCTTCTGCACAACTACTTTTGTAAAAACATTGAAGTATATTCTATCCGACCTCAGAGTATTGAATGGGACGCGACATGGTTTCATTCTTTACACATAGTACAAGTACAGATCTCCTACCTATTAGAATAGGAAAGTGAAAAGCAAGTATGGCGTTCTTACTGTTCCTTTTGATTGTCCCTTTCCTTGGTTGCAAATTCGGATATTTGAATCATGTATTCTGATATTCCCTCTTCTGTTCATAATACATTAGTCCTCTAAATTTCTTCTATTGTAGCGTCCCAACTTCCCAGCTTCCCAGCTTCCCAGCAGAGTGTTCAATAGTTCACCCAGGCTTCATCCAGACTCCATTCATTCACTCCAACCAATAATCACAAGCTCCAGCCCATTAACTCAACCCAACTCAATCTCTTCTAAACACTAAATATTAGAAATTGTCTCGAATATCAAAAGAGGTCTATGAAATTAATAAGATCACCTACCTATTTACCTTTCGTCCAAATCTCAACCCTAAAATTACAACTCGGAAAATTGAGAACACTACTTATTCGGACTTCGCGAATTAAGAACATCACATCTTGCTTAAATTAATATCTAAACGTCTATTCTAGGTTTCTATTTAAATCTCAAGTCTCAAGTCTCAAGTACTATATAAGCAAACAAATAGCTACTCACAAAACATAACAACAATCCAATCAATCTATCACACATTATTCCATTAAGTTATCAAATCCAACCAATCTAATCGTTCAAAAAATATTAAAGAGAATCTAGATACTTAGAGTGAGGACTTCCGTTTGATCTTGCTTCAATGTATTAGGTTTTAGTTTCTCCTTTCTTTAAGAAGTTTTATATACTGAGTAGAGTATACTTTTTTAAGAAACTATATTTATATTTAATTTCGAAACTCAGACCATATTATATTCTAACTCTCGATTTCCCTTTTCTCTTTAATTCCTATCCTTTAATTTCTTCTCCATCCTTGTATGAATTTAATTCATTAATATTCATCTACTAATACAAAACCAATATTTATTCGCTTAGCAGATTTAGAAGTTGATATAGTATAGAAAAGGAGTGTTAGGTGGCTCGAGTGGGTTATGCGATGTATATATTTTCGGATATGATATTTTTGTTTGGTTTATATTGAGATTATGCATATATCGTAGGTATAGATATGGAGTTGCTTTTGTGTTTCTATGTTGTTAATTGGAATTTGGAGGGCGTGGTTGTTGCGAAGATATAGGGGATAAGATGGATTTAGGGGTTGGGATTTGTATTGGGACTAGGATGAGAATGGAGATGGTCTTTCAATAACTTGTTCTGATAGATTAATAAAGAAAATTGAATATTGAAAACATTTGTTGTATTATGGATGAGAGAATAATCTTGATATAAGATGAGAGAAAAAATCAAACAAAATCGAGGAAATCTCCTCCAAAACAAAAACATAAATCACACTCTCACAAACCATCAACCATGAAATTTACGCTCTACCCCTACCCAACCACCCCCTCCTCCTGCTTTCCCACCCCCTCCCCACCCCCACCAAGCCTCCCCAAATACTCCCCCCTCATCCCCCCATAATCCGCCGCCACACACGGTCCCACCAAATCCGCCCACCACCCATTCTTCCTATGACTCCCCAACCCCACCTCCCTCATCAACATATCCGTATACCCCACCAAATCCAGATGAAAATAATTTCCCCGTCCCCCATGCGCCGGATATCTCAATTTCGAGAAAGTATTCTGATATGCGATTTCGCGTCTCGCTTCTTGCAAGCGAGGAAGAGAGAGATGCGAGGAGAAATAGGCGGTTGTCCAGATAGCTTGGGCCTCGGCGAGGCGGAAGGCGTTGGAGAGGTGGATGTGAGAGAGGAAGACGAGAGAGGGATTTTTTGAATCGTTGAGTGGAGCGAGGAGATTGTAGAGACGCGTGGGGGTGGTTGCAACTGCATGGTTAGTTTCATGCTGGTCCTGGGTGTGTGATGGACCAGGCGGATTCCGAAGTTTCGGGAATGAAGTGAGGATTTCCTGCGTTGCGTTTTGAGTGAGAGATTCCCAAATCCGCGATTCTTCTTCCGAATCATCGATTACTGGATGGGGTAATCCAAACTCGCGGGTTTGTGCAGGTGTCAGAAAGGGATATCCTCGCTTCCACCCCGTGCCACATACAACATATCTGTATGAATCACCGTCCCGTTTTCGAGTACAATGGCATGAGAATCCAGCTTTGCAATATCCCCCCGATAAACCCTCACGTTCCTCGCCACCGTACCCCAGAAATCATCATGGTGGATGAGTCCAAGTGGGCCATTACACCAAAAAATTTCACTCTCAAATTTCAAGCCCTCAAACCCGGGTAGTGCACCCTCTCTCTTGAAATCTGCAAGCTTCGCAGCTTCTTCATCTGCACCTCTCCAGATCCTCGACACGATGGAATTTATAATCGACGAGCGATGAATGAATTTCGACAACCAAGTCTGCTCCGCGAAACACGAGGGACTTAATGCGGAAAATGCTCGCGTGGCAGACATTTCCGCACCGTTGCGATACTGGCCTCTTCCTTTGGCGCCGGCGAATATGGCGGGTCCTTCGCCCGATTGGCGGATAAGCCAGGATACTTTTTTGCCCGCTTTAACACATTCGTATACCATATCTGCAGCGGATTTACCTCCCCCAAGAATGGTTACCGCCGTATATGGGGAATCTGGTGCTAGGGCTGATGTAGATATTTGTCCAAAGTGTTTTTGGTGGACGATGGGGCATTGAAAGTTCGTTTGATTAGGGAATGACGGGATGTAAGGAAGAGAATTCTGACCAGTGGCTATAGCTAGTTTTTTGGTCTTGATCATTCTCTTGTTTTCATTTCCTTTTCTATTCTCGTGGACTTCACTCCAAATCGACCAAACCCCATCAGTCTTCTCAATACCTCCCACTTTGAACCCAAAGATCACTCGATCCCTCAAACTCTTCTCATTATAAACATGTACATCTACATATTCTTCTAGATACTTCGTCATGTATTTCGCTTCAAATGTATCATGATACGTCTTTGCATCTGGAGGAAGAATAATAGGTATATCCGAGAAACCTGTCATGCGAAGACCGGATTCGGAGCGAAATCCAGGGTATTGACGTGCTGTGTGTAGAGATTAGGGATTACTGATAGTGAAATGGTGTGAAAGGAGGGTGGCTCAAGGGGGAACCAAGAAAAGAGAGAAAATACCGGAACTCCAGACCCCTCCAATAACATCTTCTTGTTCAAGGATAGCGAGACGATGAGTAGGATAAATGGAGAGGTAGAAGCGAGCTAAAACTATGCCGGAAGGACCTAATTAAGGTGCGATATACCAGTTAAGAACTAGCCAAACGCCTTGGAGAAGAGGAGAAAGGTAATGTGCATGAATTCAAATGATTAACAAAATGACGAAATGGGTTTGGAAGAATGTAAATGTTTGAGGTGAAGGGGAAGGCAATACCTGCTCCAACAATCACGAGATCATATTCCACCTCATCCTGCATTTTCAGATTCTCATTGAGCATCGTCCTTGAGTTCTTGATTTCCTTGTATGCTAGTATGAGATTTCAATATCAATAATTCGCATTCAGAAGAACAAGTCACAACGAGAGCTCTGGAAGTCTGGATAATATATAAAGTGAAGTCTATACCCACATTTTACGGCACAGCACATCACCACTGGGTAATCGTGACATTTTGATATTGGTTTAAAGGAGATTTTGGTTGTTCGCTGTTTGTTATATGTTGGTATCCATAGTAAGCCAAATGTTGGCAATGAGAAAACCTTCTTTAGTTATCTATTTCTGAATCCCCCACAAAATTCTAACCCTTCCTTACCAATACCAATAATAATGGTACTGTATAACCCAAACGCCTCCCATCAATCTTTGATAGTTGATTTTATATTCTAAAATCATCTGACTACTCCAATATCATACACTCGTCTTCGTGTCTACAATTCCTTCTTTGACGACTCAGCCAACTTCTTCTTTTCCTTAGCAGCCTTTTCTCTTCTCGCAATGACACCTTCAGCTCCAATTCCACCAAATACTAATCCTACACCCATCCACTGTTTACTGCCTAGTGTATGACCAAACCACACTACTGATAAGATCATAGTAAGCATCTTGCGAGTAACAGTTATGGTTACTAGAAGAAGAGATGAGAATGTTGAGAGTGTGTAAACTGTTTTGAATGTTAGTTTGATTTTTAAGATAAAGTAGCTCTTGATGTCATGAAAGGAAGAATAAAAGGGGAAACATACAGATGAAAACTTGTCCCACAGCACCACAAGCTGCGAATCCAAGTACATCTCTCCAAACACTTGGATGTCTCTGCATAAAAGCCAATGCTCCAGCCAATTCTCCTGCTCCACTTGCAAGATCCATACCAAGATACTCTCCCAATCCCGTATGAACAAGATATGGTGACAATAATAAATATGATGTTGTAAGTAAAGTGCTTATAATATTATTTGCACACATCATTTGTGGACCTTTATAAGGTTGGAAGCTTGTGAAGATCCAATCTTGTGTTGTGTTTGTGAGACCATCAAATAGAAGATTTACTCCTAGGAGCAAAAGTCCCCACGCAGTATTGCGATCTGGATTAAGTGCCGCTTTGCTAGGTTTTCCATGAGATTTAGCACCTGCATGGAGAGTAAAGATGCCGACACCGCATGTTACGGCTAAGACGACGACATATTTAGAAATAGGGTAGCGTTTTCCAAAGAGAGTTATGTGAAGAAACATGACTGGTAGTAATTTGCATGATTTGGCAAGAATAAAAGTGATATAATCGATGTGATCGAGAGATGCATAGCCAAAGGGGGAGGCGAGTGAGGAGGTAATGGCCACAACGAGAAGGGGAAAGATAATCCGTTGACTTGGGAAGATGGGTAGCGTTTTGCTATTGGCGGGAGTATCGAATCGTAGGTAAATGTAGCCTACTGTGGCAGCGAAAAGGGATTGTACCGTATTGAGAAAGACGGGGAATTTGAATTTTTCAGGTGCTTTTTCTGATCCATATGCAGTTGTAGTGAGTCGTTCTTGAAGAAGTGCCCAAGTAAGACTACGCATTTATACTATTAGCATTCTTGTTTCCTCGAATCAAGACCATTAAGAATCCTCTCCGGTGCTATCACTCACAAACTGCCGTAAATACCAGCAACTGCAAATATCAATTGCAATGCGCCAGCTTCTTTTTGTGTCTTCCCTTTCAATAGCGCATCACTTTTAGGTGCACCATTCTGAGTCGGCGCATTCCCATTCAGTTCCTTATTCGATTTCTTAGCACTTAAGCTTCTCGTCCCGGTCGCATCTGCTTTACTCGTGTATTCGGAAGATGGATTGCGACGCAAAGGCTCAGCTTGTTTTGTTCTCGCCATCTTTTGGCAAATCGTTATTCCAGATGTTACAGGGAAATCGGAGAGGGCAGTTGCAAAATGAAATGAAAGCAAGGGATAAGTCCCGAAGGAATAGTCAAGGCAAATGGGTATCAAGAAGAGTTACGAAGGGAAAGGAAAAGAAAAAGAAAAGAAAGGAGCGTAAAAGAAAGCAAAGTAGAAAAGGTGCAACGGGTAAATCAATAAAGATGTGTATATTTCCAATTGCCAAATGTCCTCAACTATTTTCCCTAGGAAGGTCCGAGGTAGTAGCAACAAGCCACATCTCACATCTAGATCTCCTATGTACAAGCCACACCAAGCCAAGCCCTTTTTATGCTTACCTAATAGATCTGCATTACAGTACCAAAAAAAGGCGGTCAGATCTCCTCCCGTTCAAACATGGAATAGTTTCAATCCGCAATTGTTCTAGGTAGGTTGGTAGGTAAGTTATGAAAGGGTCCCTACGGATTAGCTGGCATTTTGTTGTTCCGTGGGTCTCTCCCATTCATATTTTCTCTCTGGTGGTTTTTCGTTATTTTGCTTTACATTTGCATTTCTCTTCTTTCGATGGTACGAGAGTAAAAGTGTTGAAACTCGACAAACAAGACACTTAATCTTCAAGAACTAAATCTTTCGAAACGTCATATTTCCACTCTACCCAGAAGTGTAAACAGACATCCCATATACTCACGGAAACCCCACTATTCTATTTCACCTCACGAACCCTTCGATTCTCCCACCAATCCACCCCGCACAATTATCCTCCCAGAGCTTCCTTTTCCCTCAAACCCAAGCCCAATCCAACTCAAAATGTCTAACGCAAAGTCCCCCGAAATCCTCGCCGCCTACGACGATGTCCGCTCCGACAAATCCCCCACAAATTGGCTCTTGATATCCTATGCCAAAGCCATAGGGGATGCTCTGACCCTCACTGCAACTGGAGAGGGCGGTATCGCTGAACTACGTGAGAAATTGGATCCTACCCAAGCCCAATATGCGTATTTACGGGTTGAATATGCCAATGATAGCGAATCTTCCAGGGTGAAATTCGCTTTTATTACGTGGATTGGAGAACAGACAAAAGTTATGAGGAAGGCAAGAGTTAGCATTGAGAGTGGTGCTGTCAAGGCTGTCTTGAGTCACCATAGTGTGTCGATAGATGCGAGAAGTATGGAGGATGTGGACGAGGCAGAGATCGTCAAGTTGTGTAGGAAGGCTGGAGGTGCAGATTATAATGGTGGTAGAGGATGATATTTTACAAAGAAAAGGGGGTTTGATTGGAAGTTATAATGTTAGAGTAGAGGGTGAATGGGATAGAATGGGAAAGATACCCAGAGCAAACATTGGAATATACTAGTACAGATTCTGGTCACAAATCAAAGAAAATACAGAGCACACGATGATTCACAGTTGAACATTTAACTGAATTCACGTCGACGATCTTGCATCTATTACATGTATTTTAAATAAATTCATTGTTCGGAATACTCGTATTGTTCTGAATCTACTCAATGGTCTATCTACTACATTCTCAGAACATATCTGGATGTGTTGATGGGCCTATTTCGTAGTATGAGATCAAAGGTCGAGAAGACGTAAGGCTATTTGTGTTGCGGACGTATTGGTGTTCGAAGGAGCGATGTGGAAGACGAGTGGGAAATTTGTGTCGAGTGCATATGATTTAACGGGTAATGTGCATATCATGATTCGTAACTTAAGAGAATTATCAGGTCATAGCCGGCATGAATGACGAGATTAGGTCGATTCTCGTTCGTTCGATTGGGGACTTCGGAAAGCTGAGAGTCGAGATAGGAGGTCGGTATCTCTGGTTGTCGAATGTTGAGGCGAATCATTTGTATCAATAGGGGAATGTCATTTGCATAAGGGCAACTCGTATGTGCACCATGCAAATGAGCATAATTTCGTAAAATTCCGTGCCGCAAGAAGTGGAAATAAAAATGGTAAAGGAACTGCTTTTGTTGGGGAAAGGAATATCGGTCCAAGGAAAAATTACTAACGGACCCCAAGGTAGAATCATCGCATCAATATCAGCCTTGCGGCAAGTCAAATCTGGATAGACCTGAGACAAAGCTTGCCTGCCTGAAAAAGAAATTCGATGTGCTCAAATAGAGCTAGTAATTCATTCTTGAGCATTGCCTTGACTGCGGCGTTGCTTCTCGGCCTCGAGGTTCTCATAGAGAAGATAGAGAGCCGAGTCGTTAGCCTTAGCAGTACCCATAATGGTGAACATGCGCTCTCCAGTCTCATCGTGAGGAGACTAATGCATATGTCAGTACAGATATCTTTGTGGTGGAGCTTTGAGCTCTCTCGGGATAAAGAAGGCTTACCTTAGCGATGGAGATACGAGCCCCAGAAGTCTTTCTAATCTCACTGATCTTGGAACCAGCCCGACCAATGATACATCCAACCATGTCAGCTGGAATGCTGATGTTTTGTGTTTGGAGTTCTTCTCCGTTCTCATCGTGAGTAGGGGGTCCACGTTGAGCAGCATCGGATTCAGAACGGCGGTTGTATGATCGTGGAGCACTCTCACTGAAATCGGCACCATTTCCAGTGCGCATGACACGTGAGCTACCATACTCACGACCAGTTCCTCCAACATTGCCTTGGCCCATACCACCTGAATTACCGGTTTGAGTGCGAACCATGGGGTTATATAGAACGGTACCGGTTCCTCTAGCCCAGTCATCGACCAAGCACTTGCAGATTTCCCAGATGGCTTTTTGAATGCCTTCAGGGTTACCCTGGACCTCCACGATACGTTCGGTGGATTGTGGGAGCATTTCTTTTTGTGCGACCATGCGAACACCAGAAACGTCTTGGATATGCTTGATTTTGAGTCCTTGTCGGCCGATGATCGTACCCATTTGATTGTGGGAGATCAACAACTTGATTGCTAGATAGTAGAATTAGACTAAGTGTTTATATGATGGCATAAAACTGTAACTTACGATGAGTACCGTTGTTAGAAACAACTCCGCCCATTCCCATTTGTGGTGCGCCCTCCAACAGAGCTTTCGCAACAATGGAGTAAGCTCTGGAGATAGAATCGCATCCACCTGAGATGGTTAAGACACGATCATGAACACCTTGAACGACCTTGCTGACACCGGCTTTCACACCAGTCTCATCACGAAGGTCGGCGACATTCTTGCCACCTTTGCCGATAATGACACCAGCTTCCTTTGAAGAAACAATAGCTCTCAAGGTAAGTTGAGATTCTGCATATTCTTCATCGGTCTTTGGGAGTGGTTCGCCATCGGGGCCAAGACGAGTCTCATCATTGACTTGTAAGCGATCCATGGAATCGTTGAGCTCATCACCATTAGGAGCATTGTCGCGATTATCTTGAGAAGACATTTTGTATTTGTTTGAGTTTCAACTTCCGGGAGATAGAAAGTTGAGTGAGGTAACGTTGGGTAGATCTGATTGATGGAAGGTTAGTACTTGAGAGATGTAATTGTAAATTAAAGAGCTGATGATCCGCAGAATGTGACATATCTCACTATCGCATCGGGATAGTGAATGCGCCGGTGGCATGCAATGTAAAGGCAAAGATTGCGACTTGAGCAAAAGAAAGAGAATTAATATAGAAGCATACCTTGATTGCAGATATCAAGAAAGAGACTGGTTGTGGGAGGGAGTTGTGTGTGAGGAGTTCGAGGTGTGTTATCGGGAAGATAAAGGAGGATGAAGGGTTGTCCGAGTGACCTCGAAGAGGGGAAAAGAAGATGGATTTAGGTAGGTAGTGGGGGGTGACTAAAGGTTGAGAGTTGAGTTGAGGAGTGGGAAGGGACGAAGAGGAGGGAGAGGAAAAAGAGGGAAGGGGAGGAGAAAGTGTGATTGATATTTCTCTTTGAAAGAAATCGATGAATCTTTTTGTTTGTGGAGGGGAGGGGAGAGAGGGAATGGCTGGTGAACCTGGAAAGTGCTTTTGCTTTTTTTTACTGGGAATGATTTTGACGCTAATTATTGGAAGGGCGGGGTTCAAAGTTTGTTCGAGACACACCGACTGTGGTTTTAGAAAGGGTGGGGCATTTGTACTAAGGTAGAGGGGAGGGGAGGGTACCTAGGTCGGTAGGTAGATCGTCAAAACCATGTCCTGGGATTATCTATCTGCATGAAGTACACATTTCACCAATTCACCAACTTGCTTGTACATAAATAACAATAACAGGAAGGCTGACGGTATTCTTTGGATATCATTGGTATCTGGTGTATCTACTTGTTGTGCCTCAAAATAATCAATAGCAAATCATCCCTCAAGGATTTTCAAGGGTTCGAACTAAGGCAAGATGTTAAGAAGAGCTTGAGCTCAAGCTCCTAACATTCAAGTGCTTTGTATAGGTATTTCCGTTTACATGGAAGGAGAACTTCACAAGGGAAGAATCGCGGATGGAGAAAGGACTTTAATAGTCACCCGTACATGACTCCTCTCTGTGGGAAAACCAATATCAGACAGTATGAGTGAAGAGGTTGAGAGTCTTGATATTTATACTTCTTAATTTCGTTCACCATATGAAATAATTTGATATTGTCTGCCTCCTATGACCATTCCCATATTTACAACGCTGACCCATATTCCGACAATGTCACTCATTAGTCTTGGGCTTCGCAAATCCTGTTTCGAGGAATTGTCGGGGTCAATTACGAAATGTGATGAGCAGCCAGTTTCAACTGGTGTTACTCAAGATACCTAGACGAATTGGAGGCTTCCTACATTTCGCGTATACCTGCATTGCCGGCTTGCAGTAGTGTTCTGCTATCCGACGTTCGAAAAAGGTCAGGCTCCCAGCTGATGTTAGGAGATCGCCCCATTCGTCCCCTTTCTATCATATTTAATAGATGGCTTGTAACAAGTGATCAAGTCGATGTCGCGTCGTGATTCGTGTATTGATGGATTCGCGTTTACTGATGAATCCGATAATGAAGTGTGTTGTTGTATAGACAAAAGAGATAATGTAGCCATCCTATTCAACCGTGTTTTCATCGATTTGTTTCTCTTTTATTCGTTTCAATGTTCCTAGCTTGAAGGCTTCTTCAGCGTTTGGCAATGGAGATTTTGGTATGGGAAGTTGGAAGTCGCCATCATCATCCCCAAACAGAAACGCTGCCTTTTCTCGACCAGCACCGGATGTAGGTCGCTTTCCGGTTCTTAAAAATGGAGAAGAACTCTTTGGAGGTGAGGATTTTATCGTGGGGCTAGATGCTTGATCTGGTTCTAGCATCCAAGAGAACGACGACTGTGCAATCGAAGATCTAGTGGGGATGGGTGCTTCGGGTCGCTCGGTTGTTGCAGATCTCATAGCATCTCTTTCTATATCGGGTTCGATAATTGTAGACGGCTCGTTTGAGGAGAGGTCAATTGCTTCCCTTGGAGTTTGACTAATGTCAGGCGTTGATATGGATGTCTCATCTAGGCCATTTGTCTCTTTTGCCAGAGCATTACCTGGGTCGGAATTCATGATGGGAGTCTCTGGTGAAGTTGTCTGCCCTTGATCTGAGATTGGCGGTAATAAAACTTTCGGTATATCTGCTTCTGGTGTAGCAGGCTCATTCCTACCATCGATAATTGGTGAAAGAATTGGAAGTGGCATAGTAGAGTCCTCCAAGTAAACCTTCACGAAATCAACTTTCGCAATAGCCATGTCCATTGCCTCGATGCACTTTTCCCGGTTACTTTCTTTTGACACAGAAACAGATCTCAGATCTTTCATTGCGTGATCTAGCATGACAGCCAATTGCCTATTTCTTTCGTTCATTGTTGCCATGATAGCTGTCGAGGCAGGCATCACACGCCCATCATCAAGAGACCACCGTGAAGCAGCACTAGCTCTCCTAGGAGAATTGTTACTTCTTGGAGTTTGTAGTCCTTGCATATTCTTCTTCACTTCTTCCATTGCATCGCGTACAGCTTGATTGATGCCAAGACGCTCTCCCCTATTGTAAACACCTTTTGCAGCACCTTGAATCAACGCTTCAACACCCCCCTGTTGTTGCAAGAACCGAGCAGGGCTAGTCAATGAAGATCTATTCCGCATGAGTAGCTGTCTAGGGCTGAGACTTTCTTCAATAGGAGCATCAGGTGGTGGCGATGATTTATCTCGATGCGGGAACTTCCCACTATATTTATGAATAATCTTGGATCCCCCACTAGCATTGAAATTATCTCGTAAGAAGATTGCATCATCGACGAAAGTTTGAGGATTTGGAGGACACTCATATTTGAGTAGTAACATTAGGGCCAGCGAGTAGTTCGATTCCATTACTGATTCATAAGTTAGTCATTACGCCAAATTGTGGAAGGTGAATTGCATACGTTGCCAACGAATTCGAAGTAACATTGCTACACATATAAGATCCACAAGATCTAGTTCTGGATCCTCGGCGAAAAGAGTATCCCATACTGATAGTAGATCAACGAAAGGAAACTCGCGCCCGAAGAGCAACCTGATCCAGCGTCTGTATAATCCGTCAATAGATGAACAGTAGCCGAAGTTAACGATTTTTATCCTTACATCAAGAATATTTGTGGTAGTATCTCAATATCTGTAAGATGTTTGGCCAGTCGCGGATCTACCCGAGCCAGGTATACTTCATGAATTCGCTTACTCCTTTCAACAATTGGAGATGCGCCATTTTGAGGGGTTCCGCCAACAATTTGAGGTGTTTTTTGACCGGGGTCACCTAATTCATAAAATGACTTTGCTGATCTCATGACCAAAGACAAGAGAGTGAAGGCATCATGCTCGATGAATTTACGATTCAAACACTGCTTCATAATCGAATCTGATGGATCTGTTCCTGATTCACTCGTGTCACTATTGATGTCTCGAGGGTCAATAGAATCTTGCTCCACTACCCATAGAATTGGAGCCAGTATCTCATGCATGCCCTGACGATAACCTACATCTTGGTTGATTTTGCAAAAGATAAACAACACATCCAGCATGAATCTTTGAATGTCGGCACGACGGAAGTATGGTTCTTCTGGCATGCATCTCTCGATATCCTGAAATATTTCGGCACGAATTTCTTCATCTTTCCGAAGGGTATTCCATGGTGACTCAAAGTGTCTCAGTACATTTGGACAAAATTCCCAGAATACATAAACCCGAAAGTAAAAGAACTCACGTGTTTATCATCGTCCAGAGGATCTAATGAAGATCCTAGATCATTTGGATGTTCGATGAATCTTAAGAAATGTTCTCTTAAAGAGGTATAAGCACTTCGTGAATCCTCAAGTCCTCGTGCCCAACCCGTGATCTCTGTGTTTTGAAACAATAAAAATGTCTATAAAAATGTTACTCAAGAGTACGCCAAGATGAAACTTAGAACTTGCCTTCCAACAGATAGATCTCAAACCTCCGTTACAAGGACTGTTTTCTCCAACGATCCTCACGGATTTCTTGAGTTCGGTCAAGCTAGATGCGGACTTTATCGTCACCTGCCATCTCTTTCTTTTCTCACTCTTGTATTAGAACAACAACGAGCAGAGAGAGGAAGAAGCTTTTGAATTTTCTAAAAATTCTTACCTAGAATCTTCCAAAGACCTCATTGTCACGAGCAAATGTGATGTCCGAAAAAGGGAGGGTTGTGACGACACTCCTATCTCTCGGACTATTTAAATCATGGAGTGGAGTGGAGTGGAGTGGGGGGCAAGGCTGAGCTTTCCTTTTTGCTCTTAAACCAAGTTTTGTTTAGCGTCAGTTTGAAGCAGCATTAACCAATCAAATAGAATCATGTTGATCAGCCTTGTTGTCAGCCTCCCGTCGCATCTAAATGGAACACCGCACTAGCAACATTAGGTACCTCAATATTATGTTTTGTACTCTTCACCCAATCATCGTCATCTCATGCACTCCAACCGTTGCAGTCTCCAATTGGTATTCATTTTCCTGAGACGAAGTATCCACATACTTTGAGATGAAGCTCACATAAGAATAGACTTTAAATATAGTAAGTCCTGCATTTCATCCATGTGGAGTTTGTGTGGACAAAGAGATATAAAATCTCCAATGTCTCGTTCTGGCCCGGATCAGTTGTCACAAGAATTGCGGATTCGATTATACCTCGACATCAATATCTATCGATCCTCAATATACAAATTTTGAGCAGACGAGCTGTACCAGCCCATACATCTTTGGAAATACTGATACTCATGAAGCCGATGAAGCAATAGCAACTCACAATTTACGAGCAATTGTCCCATTCCAATCAATTGTCCCATCAACAGCCATGTCTTCCGATCTTCTCGAGTTCGATACATTTTACAAATCACCTCAAAATACTCAACCGAAACCTAGCCAGAGTTTTTCGTTTTTTGATGGTGCCACCTCTAGTAGCCGGTCAGGCCAGGCGCATGCAAACCAGGCTCCGGCGCAAACTATAAAGCAAAATGATGACATTTGGGGGGATCTGAATAGCTTCACGAGTCCAATGACTCCAGCACAAAGTGGAACTCCTCAAGACGATCTATGGGGTTCGTTTGGCATAACGGCTACTCCCCCGAACCCAACTATTAATGCACCAAAATCCAATTATCAAGGGGGCAATATATTCAAAAATGATAATGCTCCGCCAAACCCGGGAATAGTGCGCAGATCAACCCTTGACCTTTTTGACAATAATGTTCATGAAATGCCAGAGCCTCCGTCTACCTCGAACAACCATATGAGCTATTCCTATCCTCGACCAACATTGCCACCATCTAAGGGTTCGTCAGGCGGGGAAATTCTTTTTGACGCCGACGAGGAAGAGGGTGAAGATGATGATTTTGGGGATTTTGAGAGCGTCACTCCTCCTGCATCACAACCACCACCACCTTCAGAACCTCTCGATGACTTTTTTGGCTCAATGAGTATTAAGGAACAACCATTTAAAAAGCCTCCTAACCTTAACACCACGTCGCCGACTCTCAAAACCCCATTACCATACCCACAAGCACCCAAATCACCCTCTTTTCAGCAGCGGAATCCGTTTCCCAAGGTGGGTCTTGCTACCCAACCAATCAAACAAGTCGCCAAAATGAAGATCGAAGATAAACCCAAATCAGCTTCTCCTTTGACAGCTTGGCCATCATATGACGAGAAACCTCCAAAAGCAGCACCCTACGTTGATTCGCCTGCCATACCATCTCTTGTTGAAGACATAGACGATGATTGGGGTGACTTTTCTGATCTTCCAGCCGAATCTCCAGCAATACCTAGCTCAAACTCAACATCTGGCATAGCAGCCGATGCTTGGGCCTGGAATGCCGTCGATAAAGTCACCGAGCCCACCCCAGTGGAACCCAATCTTCCACCTCCTACCAACATCCCCCCTCCCTCGATTCTTTTGATGCTTTTCCCCCAACTCTTCGACCTTCCTCAATCATCTCTCTTTAAAGCCGTAGCAAACCAACCATTCTCTCTCAAAAATCGCATCATATCCGATCCTTCCACCATCAATTTTCTTCGCGCCTACCTTCTTATTGCCACTGTTGCAGCCCATATCATCGCTGGTCGCAAATTACGCTGGAAACGTGATACTCATCTCTCACAGGGTATGAGCATTGGGCCTGCTGGCGGAAAAGGCGGCATGAAATTGACCGGTGTCGATAAAGCAGAAGTCGCACGTGAAGACCGTGAAGCAGAAGAAACAATCCGTGTATGGAAAGAACAATTAGGGAGACTTCGATCAGCTGTAGCTGTAGCTAATACAAGTCTTAAAGATGTATCGAAACATTTGGCGATCCCAGAAATTGGAGATTCGATGCATGTAAAGAGTCAGGAAGGGGGGCTAACGGCACCGAAAGCGTGCGTGATATGTGGATTGAAGAGAGAAGAAAGAGTTTTGAAAGTAGATGTCAAAGTTGAGGATAGTTTTGGGGAATGGTGGATTGAGCATTGGGGACACAGATTGTGTAGAAATTTTTGGCAGGAACATGAGGGGAAGTTAAAATTAAGATAAGAGGGACGCTTTAGGCATATGTACTTGATTGAGTATTCATGTACACCACTTCGATTCATGTTTTTAATTTCACAGATTTACAATAATTCATTGGTACTAAAAAACTTAATTCATATTGCTGGAAACTTTAGGGGTTAAAAATCAAAATGTTATATATTATTACCTGACCTTACCTGCCATTACCTTACCATCCTATCCCATCCTACACATTCCATCACATACCCAGTGAATCAACTATAATAACTAACCTACCTACTCATCTCACCCTATCCATCTATCTACCTCATCTACTCCCTCGCCGCACTCAAAACCCTCACTCTCTCCGCAGCCATCGCAGCCTTAGCTTTGCACCCAGAACACCATTCCGGTAGCATCTCCTCCGTCTGAATACTTTTAAGACAGGAAATCGGAAGGGAAACAGAAAGGGAAAGCGGAAGCGGGAGAGAAGCGGATTTAGTGGCCATCCAGCAGGGTTGCGGATAGCCGTGCGAGGTGTGCGAGCAGGCGTAGTGGACTGTGGTGTAGGTGCACATCTTTTGGGTGGGGTTTTTGTTGGAAGATGGGGGTGGGGGAGGTTTCTGGGGGAGTGAAGGGGAAGTTGGGGGTGGAAGGAGGGTGCTTAGTTGAGTATATCGAATTTTGAGTTTTGAGTCTTGAGTCTTGAGTCTTGAGTTTCGATTTTCCGATGGTGTGTTATATTATATTTAAAACGATGATTGGATTATTTGAAAACTGTGTATAGGTGCAATCTGTGGATGATACTTGATACTTGGAAATGGAAATGGAAATGAAATAGATGATAGAAGGGGGAGGGAAACGAGATTGATATAGGAAATGGGAACAAAGACATTGTTCTTCTTGTCTGTGCAGACAAAGGGACAAATGGGGATGAATATGAATATAAAGAGCTGTGGGTGTAGAACAATGAAATAGAGAGGGGGGGTGGGAAGAGAGAGGAACAAGGAGAGAGTGTGTATCTCTGGACAAAGAGGGTAGGGATGAATAGATAGATGGATGAGGGGGGTTCTTTGTGCATATTTGGCATTTTTTCTGTGCATCCTGTGAGTTTGTTTTGGTGGTTGGGATGGATTTGAAAGAAGGGGGGGAAAATTGAGAGAACTGAGTAAACTATGTAAATGATGAGCTGAATTCTGGGTGGTAGGTTGAACGATCAGGGTCTCTTGTAGGTTAGCTACATGCATGTTGCAAGTCAGACAGGTGAGTCGTGATCGATTGCCAAGTACATGTTGACCTATGGTTCAGACTATCATCTTTCCGTGGATATGTAATTTATATCTACTAACAAGGTCGCTTATCTTCTTTTTTGCAGACATTGTATAAAAGGTATGACTTCCGACATATCTCAAGTAAAAACCACAGAAAGCATACAAATGTATACGTTCAATACTCCATAGGCATATTCCAAAGTAAAAGTTGTATTTGATCGATAGACCACAGGTTGAATTGAGTCGTATCCAAGCTGAAAATTCAATGAAAGAAGAAGAAAAGTCCGTAGCATCCTTCAGAAGCCCAAGATGAAGGAAAAATGTGTAACGCAACGCCTAATATACACCTCTACACCTCTACACCTCTACACCTCTACTATTCTTCAACCACTCAATATCTACCAAAACCAAGTTTTCTTTTGCTTTCTAGACTCTGTAGCTTTCTTGTTCGCTTGTCTCTCTTCCTCTTCCTGTTCTTTTCCTTCGTTTATGATTTTTAATGCTTCTTCACCTTTCGGAGCGGTAGTCAAATTCTCGTATCCATCTTCTGTTATCAAAAGATCGTCTTCAATGCGTACACCTCCAACTGGATAGTATTTCTGTAGGAGATCTTTGTTGATGTATTTTGCATATTTGGGAGATTTGAGATAAACTTCTTCAAGGGCGTATCGGGAGAAATAGCTTGGAGATGCATCGTCAGAGAAGAAAATCAAGCAGTCTAGGATAAACTTACATTCCAGGCTCAACTGTGACTACCATATCCTTTTCAAGGATCGATCCACCATCTGAAGTGACTCCAGTGTTGGAAAGAATTTGGAAGTAGGCATCAGTCCAATCGGCGGGTCTTTTGCTGAAACCATACAGACGATTTGTGATGCGACTTCCACCAGGTCCGACATCATGAACTTCCAGACCAACGTAATGACCCAACTAAATAATCAGTCAGATTGGGATATTATGAATGGAGTAAATAAGTGCTTACACCATGAGGGAAAAATGCTACCGAAACACCGGCCATGAAAAGTTCATCAAATGTTCCACCTTCCACAAGTCCCAAATCCATGAGACCTTTGAGCGCAACTTTGTGAGCATGGATATGAATATCTCGATAATTAGCACCTGGCTTCAGCAATTCGATACACTCATCTTGCATCTTAGCCACAATGTCATAAATAGCTTGAGCTTCCTCAGTATACTCTCCAGAGATTGGAACTGTTCGAGTCACATCAGATGCGTAGCAATCCCATTCACATCCCGCATCAAAACACAGAAGTTGCCTGTCTTTTAGAGGTTCATTGTTGGCCATATAGTGAAGAGTACTTGCATTTTCTCCAGAACCAGCAATTACTCCATATGCTTGAGTTTTCGCCTGTTTGGCAATGCATGTTGCTGTAAAAATGGCTTCAATTTCTGCCTCATTAGACAAATGACGAAGACCACGGAGAACATTGATATGTCCTTGTGCTGTGATTGCACTTGCCTTCCGGATCATCCTAAGCTCATACGGAGTCTTAATAGCTCTAGCTGTATTCATAGCCTCCTCTAACCTGGAGCTATCGAATGGAGATTCGCTGATGATAGAATGACATCCATTTTTGCGAGTAATCTTAAATTCGATATTTTTTGGCGCTTGATAATCATGTAAAATATGAATCTTTCCAGGTTCGGTATGTGCATACCAAGTGAGATATGAATCAAGATGAGTCAATGTTTCGACATGGTCAAAATCATACTTGGCCATTATCTCTTTGATTGTTGGACGAGCTCCATTATAAATGACGGATGAGCCGGAATTTGGTGGTGGAATCCAAAGCCATAGTTGATCGCGATGGATGTTGTAAGTGACGATACAATCAGGGAGATTTACTCCCGTAATATAATAGAAGTAACGACGTTGTCGGAAAGCAGGTGGCATATCAGAGTCTTCATAATTGAAACTTGGTAGACCGGGAAGATAGATGAGACCTTCACCGACATCAAGGTGCTTTCTGACATTCCCTGCATGAAGTTTTGCTGATATAACTTGTCAGTACAGGTCTTGGGTTTATTCATAATAGGAAAGCCATGATTCGAGTCGAATTGTTGAATGATTCGTGTTGAACCAATCATCACACTTGGCAGCTGTCCCACGAGGATCACACCCCCTTCCTCTGGGGAAGCTCTAGATAAGCCCATGAATGGATGGATAACTAACCTGGATACTTTTCAATCGGCTTGGGCTTATATTCTATTGATCTAATCAACTGTCAGTATATTTCCTTGTAGTATAAGGGCTAAGATTTATTCACAAAGCATCGAATTCGTCCACCGCCTTACACGCCCAACTTCCACTTGAAGATGGTCTAACTTCTTGATCTTTGTCCTGAGCAGTAAAGGAGCTCATGATAGTTTGGAGATCCATCTTCAATCAATACGATGCAGATACCAATTAACACAATTATCGTTGATGTGAGGTTGTTGTTTTGAAGGATCTCATATCTTGGTGATTGTTGGTAGTACTGATTCAGATGGGCCATGGCTATCTCGGCTTAAGTTCGGGATAAAGGGGTTGTAAATACCTACCTAAGTAGGCAATCTCCCCATTGACATCTTCAGACGATATCCATCTTCGAATCCTTTCAATGAAAGCCTTGGGCTGTGCTTGATGCAATATGATAATGTTACACTCATCATCTTCTACAACCAGTCAATATACATTCTATCCAACCAAGTCTAAATCATTGGATATGGGTTTCTCATAACCCCGCATGAAGTCACACACCCTTGTAGATGCATCGAATCCCAAATATTGTCCTTCTCCAATCTTCTACCTCCAGCCTCACCCACTCCCCAAAAAAGTTCATCACAAACCATCAACTTTTGTTTCTAAGATAGGTACAAAGCTCCTTTGCAATGTTGAGTTCTTTCACAAACGTATACGGCTCTTTTCCCAACATCCAAGCTCGTATGAATAATCTAGCGGGTACTCAAGCAAGCGTCGTGGGAATAGCAGGCTCTGGAGCCCGATTTCAGAGTCTGAGTGATTTTGAAAAAGAGCAGGATGAATTGCAAGCTCGGTAAGTTCTGGATTGGATACAGTCAAGTCTCATAACATTATCACCGCAATCTTTTGGTGCTGTTGTATGATGTTATTTGTGAGTTTTAATGACGAGGCTTTTAGGATTGACCAAGATAATCTCAACGCACAACCCACAAGATCTCGTACTGGCTTACCAGCCGCCAGCAGACCTAGGAATGTGCCAGATGTCAGTGGTATCCTACTTGAAGAGCAAGCGTTGCAAGAAATGGGCAGCATAAACTGGGTCGGAAAACTACTGGGTAAGTCCTCTTTCACGATCACGAGACTTCTTCATCTATACATCGATACTAACAATTTCCAGAGTACCATCAAGCCAATGCCATCAACCCACTACCAGAGTATACAGAGCATCAGGTCTCCGAACAGCGATTCCGCTGTTCCGTAACCATCCAACAAAAGACCGAGCCCATCACCACCTTAGCATCCTTCAGCAACAAAAAAGATGCCAAAAAATTCATCTCCAAACTCGCCGTCGATTGGCTTATATCACAGAACCTCATGCCTTCTACTGGCGACGTCAGATTTCCCAAGACACCAATTGCAGCACCAATTCCAGATGCTCGCGAGAGAAGCACCTCTCCAACACCGTATCCCAGTCTCGTCCCCAGACTCTGCATCGCCCTTGGTTTCAACCCTCCGGCATATAGACTCACGCGCATGTCAGAAGGCACCTCACTTTACGAAATCTATGCAGATTTTGGATCTGATCCCCGAATCGACGGCCCTGTAGGAAAACTCACAAACATCTACGGCAGGAATAGAGCTAAAGAAGCCTGCGCAAAAGAAGTTTTTATGTTCTTGAAGGCGTTTGAAAGATCGAGGGAAGCAGGTATTGCAGCTCAGCAGGGAGAGGAGAGGAGGAGTGAGGAGGAGCCCCAACCTCAGCATGAGGACTCGGGTTCGAATGCGAATGATCAGTATAGTGTCGTTCTGGTATTTAAGAATGGTTAAGTATGCTGTTGAATCATGGATTGTAACAGGATGGAGTGGGATGGAATACTGGGACGACCATCTTAACGAATTTCCTAGGATAGATTTGGAATATATGTCATGTTATGTTGTGGGATACTACCTACCTAGTACGAACTTGTTCGGGTAGAATACAAGTTTCGAAATCTCAATTCGTTTTCACTTGCTCTTCTTTTCATGTTCCTTCTTGTCTATTCTCTTCCCCTTTCTTACCCTGCCCACCAATTCCTTCCATCCAATGTTATTTGTTTTCACTGCACTCCCTCACCTCTCTCATCAGCATCACCACTTACATGCTATCTCTCCCTCCTACCCGCAACCCACAACTTCGCATCCAAAAGCTATCAAATGATCAAAATCAAAATCCAGCCATCAAGAACATCATTCAGCTTCTCTACACTTCCACCCTCCAATCCTTCAATTCTTCAATCCTTCAATCAATAAACATACAAACATTAACACAGCTCTTTAAATACAAAATCTATCCCATTCTGTTCCATCATATTATATCATATCCCATTCCATCAATCTCAATCTCAATCTCAACTCAATCTCAATCTCAATCTCAATCTCAATCTCAATCTCACTCTCAATCTCACTCTCAATCCCTAACATAAATACTAACTTAACACTAACAAACACACCATAAAAATACAAACAACATCTTCTCCCATCTCTCATCTCCCATCTCCTATCTCCTCTTTTCTTTTCTCCTCTTTCTTTATTCCATACACATTATATTATACCATACATACCATATCATATTATATCAAAAAACTCAATATAATCAACCATCTCCATCTCCATCTCCATTCTCATTATATATATAAAACACCACTCATCACATCATTCTAATTCAAAATCTCTTCATCTCTATACAACAGTGCAACCATTAACCCTTGACGCTCTCTCATTAATCTTACAAAGTAAACCTTGGAACCCACTTGTATCCACATCCCAGCTCCATTCTGTATTTATACATATGACAGAGGGGGGGGACATTGTGCAAGCTTTAGACCAATAGTGTTTATACTCAAAAGAACCGCCAATAGAATAAACAATAATGCACAATAAAAGTAAAGAATATATAGCCAGTAAATATCTCTCTTGGGTATATAATTTTATTCGTAGCCATCCACCCCACAGCGTCAGGCAATTGATACAAAAGGAAGGTTTCCCCCCTTGATTTATTCGCCTCATCATATTTCCTTCATTGTTCCAAGTCTCAACTAAGTGAGTACCCTATCCTTCCACTCCATCTCTTCCATACCATCCCCCAACTCCCTTTGAGAACAAAGGGACAATTCATTAAAATCTTACAGCGAGGCGGTAACGATGACCTGCCTACGTATCCAACGCCACGAACTTATGCAAACACCCTTCCATCTTCGTCCATCATGAATAAAAAAAACCCGGCGTATTGCTTATAAATTTGAGAAATGAGAAACGAAAGAAAAATAAGAAACGCCGAATGATAATCCAAAATTTGGCATACAACTAAATGTGTGCTTATAATGCTTGCGAAATTTGGTATAGATAAAACATCGGTCAAAGACATTATGGTGATATTCTTTAGTAGGGTGGATTCTATGTGCTCTGCAAATGCTCAAAGAAAATCGTCGATAGATCGTGTAATAGTAGCTTCTCCTGTTATAGGTGGACTCCTAGGATCTTGTGCGGGAGGGAGGTTTGGATGAATTGCAACAGTTGAAGGGAAGAATGTTGTTCGCTGAAAATCGAATCCACGTGGAGAGAAGAGGCTGGGTGTTCCACTAGAGGACGATTCTTGTGGAATACCACGTGAGAAAGCGTGTTCGAGGGGATTGCGGGTCATCTCAGTTATACGCGGCGACATTATATCAGATTGCATGTCATCATCCTGTGGTCGAGGAGACATCGTATCAAGCTGCCATTTGTCTTCTTGTGATGGTAATCGATCGACTCTGGGACTATCTTCGAATTTGGTGAAAGGTTCGATGCGTGGAATGTCACCGAATCCGAAGTCAAAACGGCCCAGACGATCAATTGCCGAATTACAAATAGAATTTGTCTCTTCTTTGATCTCGGACTCCTTGATTGAGGCGATCTTCGTGACCAAAGACTCTCTGACAACCGGATCTCTAGGCGGCGAAACATGAGACGAGTTTGCTCTGTTACGGCCCGGGGAAGATGCGGTATCGAGATCATTAGCAGAGAGCGATTGTCTGTGTCGAGTCAGACTTTTATTCCTGATGACTGTGTCTTTATTTTGAGCTGCCTGTTTCTCCAACTTCTTTCTCTCGATAACCTTTTTGAAGTCGTTCAAAGAGAAGAGAAGAGACATGTTAGGATTGACCCAACGTGACTTCGATTGTGCCAAGTTGTACGCTTCGTTTGCTGATAAATCCTGGTTGATGTACATTCCATATGCAATGATTAAGGTTGCCGATCGGCTGGCACCTTGCTGGCAATGCACCAGAACCCTTTTGCCCTCCTTGGCTCTTGATTCTATAGTTTGGCACAAATCCCACAATTCATCTTGCACATCTGTGTTATGGTCCCAAGGAATATGGATATACTCGGGAATCCTCATTTCCGAGGTGTTGGGTCGTGGTGTAGATGGAGATGACTCCGCAGAACTCGATTCGGAACCAGCCGGTTGAGTCTCGTAAGCAGTTTGAAAAGAGGAAATGGTTCCAGCTGTACCGGGTATCTCGGCATATGGATCCACAGAGTTGTGCCTGGACGCGGCAGTCATATAGCTAACTCTCTTCTGCTTCTCTTCTTTCTCCTTCTCCATTTCCTCCAATTTTGCCTCGAATGGATTTTTAACTTCCCTCGCGACATTGATCACAACATCAAATTCTGCAGCTTCCTCCATCTTAGGCTCTGAGTATAGATGAATGGTTGGTTCATGCATGAGGATTGGACCGTCGGGATATGATGGAGACTTGCAATCCTCGCCAGTGGGTGGCCTGTCAAATGAATCACCGCCAATAGACATCCCTGGTGCTCGAGTTGCCATCTGAACTCCTGTTGGTGAGGGTGCATCATCTTCATTAATGGTGAATGTATCTCTCGGGGCACCAGATTCTTTTAACCTCGAACCTCCAAATCCTCTAGAAGGGTCACCCAATGTCATTCCACCACTAGGACCAAAGCCTGGTGTTGTCATTGAAAGCATTTGCGGCGACGAGACAGAATGTTTCAGACCTCTTCGTTGCAACATTGACGATGTTCCTTGTCCCATAGGCTCCAAAGTGAGGTTGGCGGTTCCAGTATTTAAACTTAATATACTTGGCTTTTTCCTAGCCTTCAGTGGTGGCGGTTTGATAAACGAAGGGGAAGCCGGTTCCGAGGTGAATTCATCAATGCTTGGTCGAAGATTGAGAGCCAGACTTTTGGGATTCTTCTTCCTTGGCGAAGGTGAGGTCATAGGTCGTTCAATAGTTATTGGCGGCGGCCTTGTGTCTACTTCGCCCATCTTTAAATTTTGAAAAGAATCTAGACCAAACGAAGACCCAGTGAATGAAGATAATGGGACGAGTGTGATTGGCGATTCAGGTGAAGAACTTGGTGATGGATCTGAAAGTGAAGATGAATCTACCGTAGATACTGTCGTGGTGGGTGAAGAGTCCGTCGAATCGGATGCTTGTGTTGAAGTACTTTCCCGATGTTGATGGGAATGTATCTGAAGTAAGTTGCTATCGGCCTTGACTTCTGAGGTTTGATGTAATTGTTGATTGTTATACGGACTAGCCGATAGTTTGGTGTGAGTGCCGTCTAACGATGAACCATCCATTATGTTCGAATCCATACCATACACTGACATGAATGAAGGTATATGATTCTCGTACATTCGGGGACCAGCTGCTGATGGCATCTTCCGTCTCTCAGAAAGATTGCGACGTTTGACTACTGGAGCCTGCGCCAATGATTCGTGTGTGCTCCGGACTAATTGTATACCCCAATATGTTTTAGATAGTCCACTCAAGTCGGGCGAGGGTGGTGAAGGTGCAATCGCCGTAAAAGACCTTTTCAAAGTTGCATTGTTAGCAATTGCAATGCTTGTTGGACCAGCCATCATCGCTTGTCAAAGAGCACAATAATAAATACAAACGAGATTCTTTTGTTGTTTGTGTAATAATGAGACTAGAACCAATGGAGGCAACAATGAGAAAAGGAAGCCAGCTTAGAAGAATTAAACAAAAAGAAGGTTATGGAATTCACTCACTCACTTGAAGTTATGAAGCCCTTGAAACGGGTTCCCAATTGAATGACAAACTTCCAGGAAAGGGTCGACAACAATAACCAACGTCGAATGCGCCTTGATCTTTTATTTTGCGATTGAATATGAAATGGCGCAAGAAGTGATGGTTCAGGCAAAGTGATTGGAATGCATACAGCGAAGGGTCGTAAGAGATGAGTTTGAGAACAAAGTAATAATTGCCTCGAGGGGTAACCTAATCTTCGCCTTACCTGGGTATTGCACGCGAGACGCCGCAGTTATTATTATTCGAAGTTGCGTGTATGTGCGTGTGTGTGTACCTGAAAGAATAATAGGACAGGTAGGTTTCAATGTATGACCGGGTCAAATTATGAACGACCGATTATAACAGGATATAATGTTATTGTTGGAAAAATGTCAAACTTTCCAAATTGAACCTTTTTGGGGGGGGGGGGGAAACAAGATTGAAGGATTGAGAGTTTCGAGAAACGAGGATGTCTCGACAATGTTGGTGGTGGTGGTGGTGGTGGTAGTGGACAGGGTTGCTGAGCACTAGAATGCTACTAGGTATAGTAAAGGTAGGTAGGTTTGAAAACTAATAAGTCAGCGCACCGTTCTCAGCGAATAAGGGTAAGAAAGTGAAATGCAGGGGGGTTAAAAATAGACAGGGCGGGTAAATGTAAGCCAATAAAATAATAAAGTAATACAAAGCCAAAGCCCAAGTAAAAAAGATCCCTTACTATATGTATGTATGTATGTATGTATGTATGTGTGTGTGTGTGTGTGTGTATGTGTGTGTGTGTGTGTGTATGTATGTATGTGTGTATATGTATATGTATGTGTGCGTGAGTTTTCTCTCTCTATTGCCTGCAACTATTATAAGAGAGGAGGGTACTTTGTAATAAAGGCGGGTGTACCCAAGCCAAGCCTTCCGTCTGCACGAAAGCCGTCGAGGATGAATGAAGGATAAATTCGAGATTGGATTGATTTGATTTGATTTGATTTGATTTGATGAGATGAGATGAGATGGGCGTTGTAAAGTGTGTAACTTTGAAGATAATGTAAATTGCAGATATATATATATCCTTTGCAGGGTATATCTTCTTTTATTGATCGAATCAAGTTGAGCAGGTGGGTGGATGAGTGAGTGAGTACAGAAATACCTGTGGAATATATCGTATCAAGAAATTGTAGAAACTTCCCTTACGCTCCCAAATTACTCGTGGATAGGAAGAATAGATAAACGGATGGACAGATGGCAGAGAGATAAGAATTAATTGATCTGATCAAGAACAGGTGAAAGGAACAAAGTGTATTTGTTGATTTCCGTGGGGTATCTCAAATAGGGCTGGTATCTCGTCTGGGGTACCTGAAGGGGAAGTTGAGGAACTGTAGGAATAGAATCGTTCCAAGCTCGAGATGAGAGTAATCGATTTGTTTTCTTATCCTCGAGATGGGAAGTTTCCTTTTCTTTTTGCGCCTGGTGAAGATGCGTTGTTATGAATCGATGCTCAACCTTTCGACAGTAATATCAAATCGAATATCTGATGTTGAGAATCCCGCACAAGTTCAACGTCAATGTCAATGTTAATGTCAATTTCGACTAAAGCGAAATCGAAGTCGTCCTCTTTGAACTCTGATGCGCCGAATGTATTGTTTGCGCCTCCACGGATTGATTGATTGATCGGATGATGGATTGAACAGGCCTGCAAGCTGGTGGTAGCTAGGTAGCTGGGTACCTATCTGTCTATGTGTGCGTGTTTTGGGTGTCGGTCGAGATTCGAGAACAAAGGAATGGCCGCGGCTTTTCGGTCGCAAAGAGAATTCGATCGAGTCTCGAAAAAAAATCAAAAGGAAAGATATAAAAAGATGAGAAGCGGAGAAGAATGATGTCAGACAATGAAAATCATACTGTTAAAATGATGAAAAGTAGAGAGGGAGAAAGAGAGAGAGAGAGAAAGAAAGAGAAAAGGTAGAGAAGAAGATATACTGGTCGAATGAGATGATATAAAAGTGTGGAATTTTGGGGCAGGGCGTGTAAGAACACAGTTAATGGGTATAAGAGAAGAAAGGGTTGGGTGAGAGAAACATAAACTTAGAGAAAAATCAGTCACAGAGACAGACAGACAGACAGAGAGAGAGAACGAGAGAGAGAACGAGAGAGAGAAAGAGGCTTAGAGAGAGAGAGAAAAACCCCAACGCAAATGGAAGCTATAACATTGACAATTCGGTGTATAGAAAAAACCAGCTGGAACCCGCTTCATCACTTTCCTTCATGGGCTCCATGGCTCCATGCCTCCATGGCTTGTTGTCCAGTCGAGCCAGTCCAGGCAAATGGGTCAAGTCAGTCCAAGTGGAATCCTGATTCGATTGCCTCAGGATTTCACACTGCATACCTACCCAGTCGAGCCAGTACTTACCCAGTACTTACCCAGCACTTACTTCCCACGCGTTGCCAAAATAGATTTAACCACTTTTTGTCTCTCCAGTTTTAATTGGTCCCAAACATCCATGATGAAGATATGAAACAAACTATGAATATCCGATGCCACGCCAATAGAATTGATGAGAATGAGAAGAAAGCGAAAGAAAGAAAAAAGAAAGAAAAAAATAAGAAAAATTACGCTTGCCAAAGTAGAAATGATGGATCACGGAAGAGTTGTCAAGGATAATCACGGATCATCATGCTTTCTCATGGATTATCAAGGGTCAATTGCATTTGCTTTGATGCTCTACTAGGTCATATCACCTCCCTTCCCCTCTTCCGAGCTCACATTACTGTCGCATAACCTGACATGATAGATTGATCAATCCTCGCTCTCTCCGTCTGATCATGAAGACAAGGCAAGGAGGGATTCAAAAAGAGAGAGAGAGAGAGAGAGAGAGAGATTCTGGATCGTTGAGGCTGTTGAGGCTCAGTGTGGCTGGGGTAATTTAATCTTCCTCGGGTAGCTGGAGGTATACACAGTCGAAACAGTGCACCTGCTCCTTGACTACTTGACTTGTACGTACATTAATTGATTGTCCTTGTCCTGTATCTCCATCATCTCCAAGTCCAAGTCCAAGTCCAAGTCCAAGTCCACGTCCAAGTCCACGTCCAAGAACAGTGAAGAGACCGAAGATTCATGACGGAAAGAAGAAAAGGTCAGGGTTTCTCCTCTCGCTCCCGAATCCTATTTCTGGGTCATGTCCAATTTGTCGCCTCCCAGCATTGCGGGGGATGAAATTGATTTTGGGCCATGCTATCCCATATTCATCTCATACCAAAGCATGATCCAGGTCATTGCATTTCAAAACACCCCACATAGGAAATTTCATTACAACGGTTGGTAACGAGTTGCGAAACTACGGGACGACGAGACTGCGAGTACGAACAAAATTCCATAGAACTGTGGTAGCACGGGATAGCTACCGTGTAGAATTGATGCTTGGAAGGCCATCTCAAGGAACACGAGACGCTTGAGCAAGAACATCGACGAGTACATAAGACTAGTCCGGTATTGAAGTCGATCGAACCGCTCAAAAGTATATCTGCTTCATGATATACTTTCGCTATCGATCCGAGCGAGGCATGAATATTGAGACAGCAACCCCAAAATCACAGAGTACAGACAGACTTTCATCCCCGAGTTCATCTCATCCTTTTTCCCAACTATCGAAGCTTTGTTCATAGAAAGGTCTTCTTCGTCTTCTTCAGGGGACTACGAAGTCGAAATTCAAAGGGCAAGGTAAATATAGACATGGCCACAGAAAAAGAAAGTGGAAGAAGGTGGAGAATCTTCACCGTTATGCTAATGAAATAAATTTCGATTATGTTCAAGGACGACCCTGAAGAAGACTTGTGTGGCAGCTTGTTATGTAAATAGACCAACCATGTTTTGTGCGTAACATGCAAACGTAGGTACTAGGTAGTCAAACGTTTTTTTTAAAACCTCGGTCTTATATTTCATCATGGACAAACGGGAAAACTCAATTCGCATCCTGGGGTTCGATGCAGTCCAAGAAGTCTAAGAAGTCTCACATTATTTTGTTACAGAGAAAGAGACTCAGCCGCGATCTACGTACTTACTATCCCCAACTCGAATTGCCTTAAACACAAGTCAATACTGGACTAAGCCGAAGTTGGGACGAACATCTAGCTAGGTAGCTAGTAGCTATCTATTGGGGGGAATTAGGAACTGGGAATGGGAACTGCGAACTGCAAACTGCAAACGATCGATTTCACGCGAAACCTGAAGACTGGTGAGAAAAGCATATATCTGATGGTCCTTAGACACCCGTTCCATTTGCGAGACGAGATTCAATACCCATTTGGCCAGACCAAATTACGCCCTCCGCATCCAGGTCGCCTCTTTGGGTCAATCCTCATTTTGCCCTCGTGGTTCTGGGACATCAATGGGTCCTTGCCCCTGAATGTACATGCAGTACATCATATTACGGCCCACAACCGCTGCAACAATTTGAGAAATTTTCAGGTATCCCCGACACTTTTTAATGAGAGATTCTAAATAAAGTTTGGATAATTCATTGGATAGTCAAACGGATCATTGTCCACTCATCAAATATACATAAGAAGTTAGGAACGGACACCAAGTAAACATAGTGCTTCGTACATCTTTCATATCATTATGTCTTTCCAGTCCAGGTCAATCAATCCATTGAACACCGGCTCAACTCTTTGAACTGCATGAAGAATGCGTTTGGCCGATCTTAAGGTTGAGAGGCTCTCTACAATACGGGACGAAACTTTATATGATTACCTAGAATAGGTATCCAACACAATCTATATCAACCGGTTGGTTCAAAAATTCCTCCGATCTTCGGCAGTCATTTCTTGACCATTGGTATCCAAGACCAGCTTGTCAGCCATTCAACCATTCAAAGGATCTGACTTGCAGTTGAGGCTGTACGATACTACAACTTTTCCTTGACACCCGAGGCCTTGCAGAACCACGGCTGCGAGTAGGGTTATAGAACTACTGGTCTCTACTGGTCTCGAACCATGACATCTACTTTGTACAATTATACATCTCGTACACAAGATACAAGCTGTTACACGTTCGCGTTTCCTAGCACCTACCTACCTACCTGCCGAGAGTCACAACAATAATGAAAAGCTATTTTTGAAAGTGGACTGCGAGCACCAGCACAGGTACAGGAGCTGAATGATGGTACAGGATGATACAAATTATTTCTCCGCTTGACAGTGGCCACGGCCCGAGCTAGGCCCTGAGGGTTCACACCTGCTCCATGCGAGTGGCGACTTGTCGATTTGTCGTGCTTCCCCTCACCATATTATTGTCTTAGCCAATGTGAAGATCCAAATAACATGTGCTCTCAAACCTGCTTCCGAAAATCGTGGTCATCAGGTTTTGGACAATCGAGATACGTTATCTAATCCCTTCAGTCCGTCAGATACGACACGATACGATACGATGTGATTTGATGTGATTTGATGTGATTTGATGCGATCCTTATTCATCATCTCAGAATGACCACCTTCTGCATTTCCCATGTTGAAAAGTTCCCCTCACCACATCAAACATAGCGACCCATCAATATGCACGTTTCTCGCGTAGAGCACAATCTATGCAGGTGAGAGGTCATGGTGGATAAGTAATTTGCTAGTTACATGCGTCAGGTGGAAAGAGAGAGTCAAGCTTCCCAAAGCAAGAGCGTGAGAGGCTCGATCTTCTTCGAATCAAGAGACAGTAGAAGGTGTCGAATGTGTGAGAACATTTCCAATTGTACACCCTCTGCTGCATCTGCATCTGCATGAAGACTAATATTATGCTCCACTTACCAAGGGAGTCGTCATTGCTAGTATCTTAATATGACTTCAGATAAGAACCACGTTTGACGACCAAATATAGGGGCATGTCCTGGGGTAGGTCTACCCATTTCTAGGAAGAAGCTTGAACGTTAATAAATGCTCATCCATGAGGAAAAGACGAAAGGAGAGAGAGATCTACCTATCCTTTGTAATCATAATAAAAATGATTGCGCAAAAGTCGCTACGAAAAGGATGTCAAGGGTTCTGGAAGCCCTAATGCGAGTGCTGAGATGGAAATTACGGTTGATTGCATTTTGACAGGGCCATTTATGCGATGCAGCACCGCCAAAAGCTCCCACTCGATGGATGAGTGATAAGATGGAGTCAAGTAAAATAAATAGTATACCTGATTGATTATTGATTGAAACATGATGAAATCCCGAGAGGAAACGTGAGAAATGTGATGGAAGAACAGGAATCCATAGATAAACTCATGATATGATACAAAGGTACACCAAGTATCTAAGTAGACAAGTAAGTCGTAGTTACCGTTACAGAATTTGAGAGAGGAAACCAATCACACAGCCGAATTTCTCCTTTAAATAGATGGAGATGTTCTCGTTGTGTATTCTCTCTGCTCGTATTGTCTTTATTCTCTTCATGAGGGATTGGTGGGATGAATTTTATATGCGTGTGTGTGTGTGTGTGTGTGTGTGTGTGTATATATATGTATATATATATGTATGTTCCTATGTATGTACATATGTACAAAGTATCCATACCCAGATATATATACACAATTGTCAAGTAATAAAAGCAATCTCACAGGATACATGAATCCGTTATCAATTCTCCAATTATTCTCATCTATCCAATACAATTCTCATATTTACTTTTCCATTATGGGGCACAGCTCTCCCTCTCATTATTAAATGTTGATGCTGTGGGTATGGATCAATTGATGCAGCTACTTTTCGCATCGGAGCGAGCATACCTACTGGCTACCCTCCCATTTTACCCTTTACCCAGTGGTGCTCAGATCTCTTTGGACGACGGAACCTGGCAAGTGTGAACCTAGGTAGACATTTCTCTCACATCATTCTACCTTACCTGGTTATTTGCTTGGTTTTTTTTCCTTTTTCTCTTTCACATTTTAACATTGACATTAACATTAACATTAATATTGACATTGACAGTGACATTCACACTCACATTCACACACACAAACACACATTCTCCGTACCTCCATTTTTTATTCCTTTTGGGCTCGCTCTCCCCTCTCCTCTCTCCATACCTACCTACCTATCTTTTTTTTTCGCTTGGACTTGATATGTTGACCTATTTTTATTCAAGATGTCACAAGTCCCTCAGTCACCAACTACTACCACAAAGTCAAAACCAAGACCTCTGTCATTTCATTCCCATAGAGTCGTTCATAACTCCTCCAAACTCCCAAGAGTACATGATGCGCCCGAGATAGTCACACACATACCTACCGCATCTAAAACCAAGCCATATCACCGTTCAACATTATCACAACCTTCAGCAGACTCCAGTCTGGCGGCGGTTGGAAATACTTCTACTTCTACTTCTACTTCTACTTTTGCTACCAATCCCAATTCCAATATCAATATCAATTCCACTTCCACTTCCACTCCCAATTCCAACATGAATCCGGCAGCTGGTGGTGCTGAGCAGCTAAGCAACAAAAACAGCAACAATAATAATAGTCATCTAAATCTGAAACTTAAATCTTCTAGTTTTGATTTAAAATTCACGGGAAACCATTCGACTATTGCGACCCCCTTTAGTCCAACAAACCAGAATAATAATAAGAAAGAACCATTTCGTACCCGAATATTGAGTTCATTCACTGGCAGTCCGGTTAGAGCAGCTTCACCTAAATCAGCATCATCGCGTCGAACATTATCCTATCCCACGCCAACGCCAAACAAACCTTCAGCCACGATTAATACTTCCACCAAACTTCAACACGAAATCTCTTCAAGGATCGGCACCTCTGAAAAAAAAGCAAGGAATCTGCTCACGCACGCCAATGGAAAGAATGGAATAACGGCTGAAGTCGCAAAAGAAACTACTCCGACCATGTTATCCCAAGGCGCATCATACATCTCACAAACAACAAATTGGATTGCGGATCAATCTCATTTGGACCAATCTCCCTCTCCTTCAACTTCCTATGCACCTCAATTATCATTGGAGAATAAACCATCACGACCTGTAACCTTACCGCCAAGGGGTGTGACAATCAATAAAAGCATGGAACCAGATCTAGCTGAGGGGAATCCGCATATGAGGAGTTTAGAGGGGCGGAATCCTCGGAGAGATTCACCAGATGAACGAAACTCCGATGAAGCGGATTTATTCTTACAGGTTGCGCAAGAGGAAGACGATTTGAACCGCCAGAGGAACCTTCCAGCCTTGAGTAGATTAGATTCTAAAAAGGTAATTATATTCTTATCTTTTCCTATCTTTGTGTGATTCCAACTTGCATCGGAATGGTTACCATCATTGGCTTAAGATATCTAACTCATCAATAGTCTCGCATCGGCATGCGCCAGTCTCTCCCTGCTCCCAACTTTCGTGCTTCGTATCTTCGTCGTGAACCTGAGCAAGAAACACAACCTACAATTCGTTACGCAGAGGATGCAGAAAGTTTACTGCGAGATTCAGGGGATCATTCGTTCGCAAGGAGAGGGCCTCCTTCAGCGATCTCGACTTCGAACGAGCAAAAGAAGCGATCATTTGCAGCCACATCGCTGTCGACCCCTACAACTCCACGAACGAATAACCGAGAAGCCGATTCCGAGCCACAGCCATATGCTGGACGACGACCATCTATACAGGACCGAACAATCACTGCATACCGACAATCAAACCTGTCCAATTCGTATTCTGTTCCCCGAACCACTGCTTATCATTCTTCTCCACTTGTTGCGCAACCGATGGAGATCAGCGATCAACATGAAACACAGCGTGTAACAGAAGGCACTGCATCGACCGTGTCCACCACTGCACCTTCAACCGTCTGGGACGAATTGGATGATCTAAAATCGCGCATACATAGATTGGAACTGACGGGGAAATTACCTACCACATCTGGTGCAGCAGTCTCGCGAGCCACCCACGAGCGTCCGCCTACTGCGACCACAACGGAAACTACCATGTCAACATCACCTAAACGTGGACGAGGCAATAGCATATCACCTACTGAAGCCCCTGCTGTTGATATGTCTAAAGCCGAAAACCATCCTCTCCTACGGTCTGCATTGATGAATTCCAAGCCGTTATTGGATCCCGAAATTTACAAGTCTTTGGAGGCTTCAGCAAATGATGCCTTGGCAATATCTGCCATGATGGGAACTTCTGGTCAACCTGGGCCTATATCGAGTTCCCAATCAGTCATTGGTGGAGCGCAACCTAACATTTCTGATCGACAAGTTCGTCGCAAAGCAGACAGTTTGTGTCGCAGCTTAACGGAGCTTTGTCTTTCATTGTCGGAAAGAAGATCAAACGATCCCGACACTACACTGACACAGATCCGACAAAATAGTCATGTTCAAGATACTGAAGTTCGACAGAGTATCGAGCCGGTCAGTCCAAGGCTACCTCCTTCTGGTGACGTAGCAAGGTTAAAAGCAAGCCCACGATCTTATAGTCGTCTTGAAGCCCGACGAAGCAGCCTTCTCGCAACGACTGCCTTACCAACCTTGAGATATCCACCACCTGAGAATACAACACCACAAAGTTTAGCTGCAGGACGTCGCACATCTTTATTACTTCGTAATCGACGCGCTGAAACCGAAGATCCTCAGGAATCCGTCGAGGCCCGATTTAGGGCACCTTCAAGGGCGAAGACAGAACTTGGACGCAGGGGGGAGATTCCACGAGACGAACTATCACGTCATCCCCTACCCGACGACGATCCTAGATCTGGCGCAATCTCGTCATCATTAGCACTCCGAAGATCTCATACTATAGCCCTCAGTTCTAACCGGGTGCCACAATCTTCTTTACTCACCCAATCGACCCCCAGCAGAAGATATTATGAACGAACACCAGAAAGGGAAATTATTATAAACTCAAGCACGGGTGGCAGTGGCCGAAGATATCTTGAGCGAACTCCAGAGAGAGATACTACAAGCCTTTCAGGAAGATTGGCAGAAGAACGTGGGCAGAGAAAGGTATCTGCCCCTTTGACTTTCGCCGCTAGAAGCAGAGCTGGTAGCCTGATGAGAAGTAGGGAACCATTGGGTCCTTCGCAACATGGTGCTTATCAATAAATTTCATTTATGGTCTCATTTGTACAAAGAAGATTTGGAGTTCTTGGGGGGTTTCTTTTCGACGCTTTTGCGAACAGGATTATTAGGGGGGAGGATTTCGTTACATTATTTTTGATTTTATCACCATAGGGAGAGAAACTTTTTTTTTCAAGATACCCTGGGTACATACGATGGCACGATTAGAGGGGTTTGAGGATTACATATCAGCGAGATTACATATCAGCGAGAGGGTTGAGGGGCATACTCTCTAGGTACATATTGCTGCTTGTCTTGGGCGTGCGGTTTTTTCAGCCCAAGCTTGGGAATTTTTTGGTTGCTTGCTTTATGTGTTTATACAATCAATCACTTTGAATTGTTGCTGGATATGGCTATTCGATTGGAATTCCGCTTTGGCATATAAGGAGATGGATCCAGGTGGATTGGTAGGAGTCTGGGATTGAAGGTGATAGATAGGTGATAGGTGTCTATTTACCTATGAATGTATTATATTTTTATTCACTAGCGATAAATAAATGTAGAGTTTTTTTTTTTTTTGCGTAAAGGCATGAATGATATGATGGTGGTATTGTAGTATTGTAGTATTGTAGTATTGCTTTTCTTTTTTTATGGTGATGGTGAATGTGATGGTGAATGTGATGGTGAGAGAGAATCCTACCTCTACATAACCGAAAAAGCGGCGGAAATTGAACACCCTTTCAAAGATCTTTTTTTAATAGATTTTAAATTCATTTTAAATTAAATATTGAAATTTGAAAAAAGCAAATGAAAATTTGAGTCTTTTTTGTATTGATATTGAGTGTTTTTATTATTTAATATGATATTGAGAAGAGATTTTAGTTATTGAAGTTCTTTTGAATAGTAATCAATTCCCACCTGTTTTTTGCTTATATAGAAATACCTATCTATTCATAAAAGAAAAAACAGGCGAAATTTGACAATTCAAATTTTCATTGAAATCCTTTAACTTAATTGAATAAAAAATAATTTATAAATGATTTATATAAATTCAAGGAAATCAAAAGAAGTATCAGCTTTTTATTGTTCAGATTATATTTCGAAATTTTTATTTCATGTAATATTGAAGGGAAATAATTGAATTGTAAAGAATATTTTATAAATGGTCGAATGCCGCCTGTTTTTTCTCCTACAAATAGCCTATCTATTATTGATAAGCGAATCTTTCTTTTTTTTTTCTTTCTTCCCATCTATCTACATAAATCTAACCTTACCCCACTAAATCAAATACCTAGATCCATACTCGTGCATACGACCTTTTCACCAATCCTTTCCTTTACTTTACTTTACTCACCCTCTACAAATCATTAATGTACAAAAACTTTCCGCGCATCACAATAGCACGGAATTTGGCATTTGGGAAAGAGCGATTGAGATTTAAGTACTGCGACGGGCGGAAGAGTGGGTTACGGAGTGGGTTGCAGAATCGGATGAGAAGTACATCTTGTGATCTTGATTTTGATCTTGATTTTGGTCTTGATTTTGGACTTGGATTTGGACTGGAACTTGGGGTGTGTGATTGTAATCGTGGGATTGTGGGGTTGTATACGCATTTGTGGAGGAAAAGGGAAAGGGAAAGGGAAAGAGAAAGAGAAGAGAGGCTTCTTGGGAAAATGGAGAATGTAAGTGTGAGGGATGGGGCGGGAGAGGGAGAGGCGGTGGAGATGGAGATGGAGATGGGAGGAGGGGGGGATGCGAGGGGTGGAAAGGGTGGAAAGGGTGGGAGAGGGGGGATGGGAAAGGGAAAGGGAAGAGGTGCTGCTGCTGGTGGTAATGGTACTGGGGGAAATGAAAAAAATAGAGAAATGCTTGTTAGTAAGGCGTTGTCGAAGTTGTTGAGACATGCGGCGGAGAGTGAGGGGGTGAGGTTGGATGGGGAGGGGTTTGCTAGGTTGGATTTGGTGGTGAGTTTTTTTTTTCTTTTCTTCTTTTTTTTTGGTTCTTGGTCTTCTGTTTTTTTGTGTTTTTTTGTGGTGGTGGTGGTGGTGGAAGGGGTTGGTAGGGAGAGTTGGAGGGGAGAATGGGAAGATATGATGAGGAGATGGAGGAAGAGAAGAAGGAGAAGAAAAATCACGTGGAAATTCTCAATTTCCATCAACATAACATAACTCATCACATATAATCTCCATGAACCCAGAAGCTCACAAATGTCACAGATGCAATGGCCTCGTCTCAAATCTCTCAAACCTACCTTTGCCGATATCCGCACCGCCGTCACCGATAACGCCAAGCAGCGTTTCTCCATGAAACCCAATCCATCCCTTCCAGAACCGCCTTCTCCTTCTTCCGAAAGTCCAGAACATTGGATGATCCGTGCTAATCAGGGACATTCCATCGCCATTGATTCCGCGGCGCTACTGGTCCCCATCACGCTCGAAGCGGGGAATGTACCGGAAACATGTGTGCATGGGACTTATTTTGCTTTTTACGACGAGATTGTCAACAGTGGAGGATTGAAGAAGATGGGGAGGAATCATGTACATTTTGGGACGGGGGTTCCGGAAGATGGGGGGGTGGTGAGTGGGATGAGGGGAGATGCGGAGGTGTTGATATATGTGGATGTGAAGAGGTGTTTGGTGGAGGAACCGCAGATGAAGTGGTGGGTTAGTGAGAATGGGGTGGTTTTGACGGAGGGGGATAAAGAAGGGGTGGTGGGAACGAGGTTTTGGAAGAGGGTTGAGGGGAGGAGGGAGGGGGGTTTGTTGTGGGTGGATGGGGTGAAAGTGGCGGATTTGGAGGAGGGATTGAGGAATAGGAAGGCGCCGATGGGAAAGGGTGGGAGAGGTGGTGGTGGTGGTAGAGGTAGAGGTGGAAGGGGTGGAGGAAGAGGAAGGGGAAAGGAAGGGAGGGGTGGTAGAGGTGGTGGTAGAGGAGGTAAAAGCTCCGATGGAAATACGGAGATTGGTATTGAAGAAACAAACCTGTAGAGGAGAGTTGACGACATTATTCTATACTAAACAAATCCAATATAACTCCAAAAGTTACCCATACATTCATTTCACATCCCTAGTATGCAATGATAGTATGTATGTGCAATAATATAGTCATACTAATAATAATAATCACAGCTTCTAATATCATATCACATTACTTATCTACATATAGATATCTTCTATAAATAATATGTACGAGGTGGTCTCTATGATATGAGAAACGATAAATGAGTTAGATAGTAGTACTGACTTCGCAAGTAAACATATATACATAATACACATCAAGTCTTTGAAGGGGGAGATTCATAGATGGTCAAGAATATGATGAGACAATGTAGTGTAGCAATCGATATACGAAAATCAGAACTTGACTTTACTTTCTGGAACCCAAGCGCATATCTAAGTATTGGCCTTATTATTATGTATATATATGTATATCCACATATATACCCCTATCTGCCCATCACCACCCCCTTCTCTCTATTACTCCCTCCGCCCTCCTGCCCCCTCGCTTCCCCCCATCTCCATCTCCACCTCCACTCCCCTCCTCATCAAAAAATCGCCCAAGTTTCATCTCTATGACTAAACACCATGTAAGTCGGGCACCCTACTTTCGGGCCACCCCTGTTTTGGGCCACCCTTTCGCATCAAAAATCACTTTTTAGGCCTATTAATATCTCTATCAATATATAATATAATTTAATGAAAATTTATATATAGATAATTTAGATCGTTTTAAGCTTATTCTGAAATTCTTAGATATTTAGGACTATTCTGAACTGAGAGCTAAAGGTTCAAAATATCGATTTTCAAATTTGTATAGGAATTGTGACGAACCCAACGAGCGTTTAGAGATCAACCTTAGAATTAAAAGCTACAGAACTAAAGGGAGCATGCTACAAGCTATATATATGATTGGCTTTGAGCTTAATACCGCATTAGCCCGATCAGACGCGATCATGTGTATATTGTGACACTTTCCTCCCCTTTTGAAAAGTTTGTCTCGAACTTACTTTAAATAAATAACTTAAATACAAAATATAATTAATAATCTTTCTCCTTATTATCAATATTACCATTTTCTTTATTGTTTTTATATAAAACACTTCGAAATGCTAAGTGTATAATGGTTAATTGAAAAGTATTACAAGAAGCATCTACATTTTTCAAGTGATTTTCAAAATATCGGCTATTGATCATTTCACTTAGATTTTTATTTTTGTTGTTGTTATATTCAAAGTTAGTAGGGGTAATTGTAATAGTTGGGATAGATTCTTTTCGGTTTTGAATATCTTAATGTGAATCAAGTGGGCAGGCTTGTATTTAATAAAAAGTATTTTCATATTAAATATATTTGTTTTATTTATATAAAAGAATTCTTTTAACTGGGGAAAACTTGGGTGTACGAGAGCGGAATGAAATCAGGGTAGGTGTCACGGGGTGACACTAAGCCCTTTCTGTCCTGTCCTGTCCTGCTATATATGTGAGAGTAAGGTAGAACTTCCAGTTCTACCTCCTAGTCTTTTGGGCGTTTAGCTCAGCGGTAAAGCTTCTGAATACTCCCAGAGGTGATCCCGTGACATTAGGATTGACTTAGACTTTAATAAAACTAAAGGCACCAATAATATTAAGATTACCAATATCTATTAAATTATAGTTATAAGAATGGATGGATTTTGCAATATATATAGAGCTCTAGATTTATTAGAATAAAATAATATAAAGAATTTATTTGTTGTATATATAGTTAATTGTTGTATAACCTAAACAAAGTTAGAATAAGAATGGGATAGAGAAAGTTATTGAAAAAAATGATTTCTGTGACGATTGCATCATTTAGAATACTAAGGTGAAGAGCTAGAAGAGCTCTTCGGAAGGAAGTGGTAATATACAGGATTGTGGATCACGTGAGGACCTAGCCGATCCACTAATATGACAGGATCGTCACACTACCCCCCCCCTTCTGAAAAGCTCGCCCTCGAGCGTACTAATAGTATTCTAAATACGGTTCTTCAATCCAACTATATTATAATCTATATTCTCTATTACCGCTAATATCTGATCCATAGTTCCAATACTAGTTCCAATGTTGCCTATAATATGATTCGTAGCGTTATCGATCGCTTTACGGAAATATGCGTTTTGTAATTTTATTGCTTTTGCAAAAGAGGCTTTGAAATCAATAGGAAAAGGTTTCGAGAGTTGTTAAAAGATAAAATAAGCGAAAAAGAGGAGATCCGTTTGAAATGCATCTCTTGTTGGTAGTATCGATGGAGCAGCAAAAGTGTTGGTGGAATACGGATTAGTCTAACAGATCAACTGAATAAGCTGCTTTGTTGCGATATCGATCGTACAAGTGTATTGATGTTTCGAATCGATTAGTTTCTGTAGTTTGCGTATTAGGTTTAGGATCTTTGAATTTATTGTCGATAAAGCAAGGAGATTCTAAATGATATAATAGTAAGATATCAGCTTGTCGATAAGTAAGGTCCGTAGGAGTGGAGCTAGGAAGAGGTCTTGATCGGAGGTTGTACGAATAGTTGTATCGGGGAAGCGGGTGTGGAAGGCAGTAGGCATTCGGCGAGCGGGCTAGCGATAGGAAGCTTCGCAAAAGCGATCAAAAGCTTAAAAAATTTATATGACCTTAGTATAATGTGACGATTGCATCATTTAGAATACTAAGGTGAAGAGCTAGAAGAGCTCTTCGGAAGGAAGTGGTAATATACAGGATTATGGATCACGTGAGGACCTAGCCGATCCACTAATATGACAGGATCGTTACAATTTCTAAGAGTTGTATTGAATCCATTATGGAAAATTGAGATTTTATTCGAATCGGACCAATTCTGTTTTTTGGCTTTATAAAAAGTTCTTTTGAATTTTATAATATAAATATATAGAGAATCGATTTCTTACTTGAGATTAAATAGCTTATTTTTAGCCTCTTGAACTTTATTTGGATTGTTATAGATACGTATAAATTGATCCAAGATTGTTGTATAATCTAAGAGAACATTTTGATTAAGAGAAAAAAGCTGAAATAATATCATAGCTTATACATAAGATTCAAGATTGAAATAAATATAATAAAATTGAACTATAGAGTTGTCGATTGCAATACTATCTATTTGTAGTTTTGCCCAGATCAAAGATAACCACATATCAAATTTCTAAGAATTATTATTAAACTTTTCGGGATCAGAAAGAAAGGGTTTCAGTTAAAAAGATATATACATTACAAAAAAATAATCGAGAATTAGAAAATGTAAGAAAAAGATTTCATCACACTATCAGATCATTTCGCCACGAAGCTTTTCAATTACATATAAAATCGCATCAACCTTCATAACTAAGAAATTAAGAATAAGAAAAAAGATAACACCTTCAATTAAAATCAAGAAAATCCATATGCAAACAAGAGAACTAGAATAATACATTTAGATAAAAATAAGCGGAGTATACATAAGAGTTTTATTTATAAGCATATACAAATATTATTCTATTTCTTATCTAAAAGAGCTTTTAATAATATAACAAACCCAACAAGCGTTTAGAAATCAATCTTAGAATTGAAAACTACAGAACTAAAGAGAGCGTGCTACAAGCTATATATGCAATCGGCTTCGAGCTTAGTACCGCACTAACCCGATCGGACACGATCACATGTATATCGTGACAGGAATCATATACAAATTTAGAATTTTTATAAACCCTTTAATAAATTTTTAACCATAATTATTAAAAGAAAACTATATATCGTTTTGAAAGATTTTACTTAAATCTATATAGAAATTCAAAAAAAATTAAGAAAAATTAACAGATATAGAGATATAATATATAGTGAGTTTAGCACTCTATAACTACTCTTTATCATTTTGAGGATACCACTATAAATATTTAGTTTGTAAGAATTATTTTCTATTTTTTCTGATCTCTTATATTAAATATATTATAATTTATACTAAAATTTATTAGAGTTTATTTTTAACAATTTTTATTCAACAGTATTATCAGACGCTTTATACCCCGTGTAACTTTGTATATGATTCCACATATACCTTCAGCCAATCGCTGTTTTGACCTCTACCCCTCCATACAACAAAATTCTAAAAATCTAAAAATTTCAGAATAAGCTTAAATCAATCTAAATTATATATATACAAATTTTCATTGACTTTTATCCATAAATAAGAAAGTTAAAAATTCCATTTTTGGTGTATTTTGGGTATAAAAAGTGGCCCAAAAGGGGGGTTGCCAGAAAGTGGGGTATCCGACTTATCTTACATAAACATCTATAAATATCTCCACGAACCCATCTCCTCTCGTAAATAAATCCCCATATCGTACAAAACTATTGATACACGATCAAAGACCGCAATCATCCGATTCTCCCTCGTATATCAATGGTGAAACATTCCAACCAACTACCCATGAGTCCCGCTTTGACAAATGATAGATAGATAGCGTGATATACGCGGGTGGGTGATGTGAAATTCCACAGCACAGACGTGGGGATTGTGAGGACGCAGGGGGAGAAGCAAGTGGACGCAAGCGAATGAAATGCAAGATTGGGCATTGGAGGACACACGGTAGGAGAGAGATTTGAGGAAAGGCTGTGGTGGCAATGGCAATGGAGATTATGCATAAACAATAGGGAGTTGACGAAAACAAAAAGCAAAATGCAAAATTGTCAAAGCGGTGCATGTCAACATCCATTGTCCCGAGGATAATTTGCTATCTACTCGTAGTGAGGCTCCAAAAACGAATCAACTTTGGATTATCTCATCATTCGATCAATATGAAGATTTCGATGCATTACTTATATGAGATCCCCGATTTCATTCATCTCGAATTCAGGGTCCTATCAAAACCACACTCCCCACAGGATGTTTATCCCTAAAACATTCGTCACTAAAGTAAGCATACCACTAGTTGCCGATCATTCACCTCACCGGATCCAGAATTTATGCTTCCCGGCTTGATTCAAAAATGTT